GCGTCAGGGGCAGCGAGCCCCGCCCACAGCCCAGCTCAGCCACCTCAGCTGCCCCCCCCCCCCCCCCGGCCCCGCCCCGCCCCGCCCCGCCCCGCTCCACTTGCTGCCTCCGGCCGCGCTCACCGGGACACCTCTGCCTGCGTGTTCCTCTCGCCCTCCAGCGTGAAGGGCGAGGCCCCCGTCAGCAGCTCAAAGATCAGGATGCCCAGGCTCCACCAGTCCACGGCCTGCGGGGCCGGCCAAGGTGAGGGCCCGCGGCCACCCCAGGTCCCCTCCCCCGCCACCCCCACTCGCCTGCCAGCCCACCTTGCCGTGCCCCGACTTGCTGCGGATGATCTCGGGGGCCATGTACTCGATGGTGCCGCAGAAGGAGAAGGTCCGCTCTTTCTGGGAGGGCAAGGGGACCCGTTATGGACCCGGCCGCCCCCAGGGCTCCGCGTAGGACTCGGGACTTGTGAGGGCGGGAGCAGTGGCAGCTTCCTGAGCACAGGGCGCGGGGCTGTCTCCCTCTGCCGCGCCCCCACCACCACCGGGAAACGCAGAGCAGGGGGAGCAGGAGCAGAAGGTGGCGGGCCCGGCAGGATGCGGGTGCCTCCGCTCACCTCCTCCGTCAGGAACTCCTTGCTCAGCCCGAAGTCTGTGAGCACGATGTGGCCCTCCGAGTCCAGCAGCACGTTCTCCAGCTTCAGGTCTCGGTAGATGATGCCCAGCTGCGGAGCAGGAGGGGCACTGAGCCTCCTTCACCCCCCCCCCAAACCCCTCAACCCCGCCAGACACACACACACACACACACACACACAGGCCGCTGCTCAGGAGACGGGATCTCCAGGGCAGGGGGGGGGGGGGTGACTGAGTCACTGGACTGAACAGGCCATTTAAGGGGCAAAGACAAGGAAGGAGGCCTCCATGGGGGCTCCCGGGGGAGCACCCCGAGGCCCAGAGACGGGGGAGCTGTGTGAAGAGCCCCGTTTCAAACGGCTTCGGAAGCCGAGGCACAATCTCGGTTTGAGGAAGTTTGAGGAAGTTCTGTGAACACGGCCCCACAAGGCAACCCCGAGTTCCCTGTGAGAGGAAAGCCCCTTGGAGGTGCCAGGGGAGACCCCGCCAGGGGGCTGTGGCCTCCCCTCCAGGAGGCCCGGGGAGAGGGCCCGGAGGCTGGCCCCTATGGAGGCCCTTTAGGGGCCCGGACATCGCCATGGCAGCAGGGGGCCGGCCGCACCCACCTTGTGCAGGTGCTCCAGCGCCAGCACGATCTCGCCCGCGTACACGCGCACCTCGGCCTCCGTGAAGCGCTGGCGCTGGTAGAGGTGGGTGAACATCTCGCCCCCGTTCACATAGTCTGGGGGTGGAGGGAGGTTGGGAAGCAGTCCCCACGAGGGTTAAGGTTAGGGTCGGGGTCAGGGTTAGGGTCAGGGTTGGTCAGGGTCCCCGGTCCCCAGGTCGGCGGGGCGCCCTCACTCACCCAGGATGAGGTGCAGCTTGGCGTCCGTCTGGAAGGCGTAGTGCAGGGTGACCAGGAAGGGCGCCTGGCGCACCAGCTCCAGCACCGAGCGCTCGGTGCGCGTGTGCTCCCGCGTCTTGGCGCGCTGCACCAGGGCCGCCTTGCGCAGCACCTTCATGGCGTACAGCCGCCCCGCGTCGTGCCCGCCCGCCTTCCGCACCAGGAACACCTTCCCGTAGGCTGCGGGGCAGGGAGCGGGCGGGGGGCTGTGAGCAGACGGTGGCACAGGCTGGTGGGTGTGGGAATGGTGCCAACCCAGAAGGGCGTGCGGATGGGAGGACAGAGCTGGGGAGAGGAGGGAGAAGGTGCACAGCCCGGGAGGGTGCTCTGCACAGCGGGGGGGGGGGGGCAGCAGGCGGGGGGCGGGGGGGGCAGCAGGCAAGGGGGGGGGGAGGAGAAGGGGCATGCACCTCCCAGAGGCTGCAGAGCACGGTGGGGGCGGGCGAGTGCAAACCCGTGGCAGACCGGGCTGATCTGAGAGGATGCAAATCCCGGGAGGGGGCAGAGGTGCACGCGGACAGAGGTGGGATGTGCCAGCCTGAGCTGGGAGTTTGCAGAGCGGGGAGAGGGCACCCACACAGCCAGGAGGGGAGCTCTCTCACCCCTGGGGAGGGTGCGAGCACCCAAGGGTGTGGACACACTCGGGAGGCCCTGAGAGTGGGATGCAAACCCTGGCGCCAGGGCGGGGCGGCGGGCGCCGTGCCAGGGAAGGGTGGGGGGCCCAGGCGGGTGCGCGGCGGGGAGGCCCAGGGCACCGGCCCGGCCCGGGGACGGCTGCCCGCGGGCGGGTCCTCACCTCCCGTGCCCAGCACCTTGAGCAGCTCGAAGTTCTCCACGCTCACCCTCTCCTCGTGCCCCGTCAGGTTGGCTGTGGGCAGGGGACGGGGTGAGCCGGCCGGGGCATGACCCTCCCGCCGGCAGCCACCCCCTCCCGAGGCCCGGCGCCCGCCGCACCCTCCGTGATCCGCAGCTCCACGGCGCAGCCCTCGTCCTCGTCCTCGTCCCCCATCGCGGCGGGGCCCGCGCTGCTGGCTCCGGGCGGAGGGCTCCGGGCGGGCGGCTCCGGCGCCGGTTACATGGCGGCGCGGCCGGGGCGGCGCTTCCTGGTCCGCCTCCGGGTCGGCTCGGGCGCCGCCCCCGCCCCCGCCCCGCCCCGCCCCGCGGCCTGACTCCGCCCCGCGGCCTGACTCCGCCCCGCGGCCTGACTCCGCCCCGCCCTGTGGCCCCACTCCGCCCCGAGCGGGGAAGGGATGGCCGGGCTGCGCGCTCCCTGACCGCACGCGGCCCCGCCAGGACCTTGGAACTCTGCCCCACCGGGCTCTGCAGCCTCCTGGAGGTGCATGCCACCCCCCCCCCCCGCCCCACCTCGCCTGCTTGCGCCAGGCCTGGTTGGAGGGTAACCTGGGGCCGCAGCGGCAGGCCTCCCCAGCAGGTGTCTGCGCCGGGTCCGATGCTGATGGGGCCAGCGGTGCTGACCCGGAGCCTGTGCCCCTAGGGCGGCCCCGAGGAACCTCAGAGCCTTCCCGGGGCGCCCTCAGCCAGCAGGGAAAACGGGGTTTCACCAGGTTCCCGCCCTCGTCACGCCTTGAAGGCTGCCGATGGGGAGGATCTGCAGTCCCCTGGACAGATGAGCCCGCGGCCTGAGCCACACGCTGCCCGGTCCAGCTGCTGCCAGCCAGCACCCAGCACCCTCACTCAGGGTGGCCGCCGCTGGGTGCTGGGCAGCCCGAGAGGGTGTTTGATCCCGGGAGCCCCGCAGCCCCGCTGAGACCTCTCCCCTGGGACTCGCCTCTGGGGCCGGGGGAGAGGGGGAGGTGTCTAGGAGCTCAGGTGCCCTGAGAACCAAAGCGGGGTCCCTGGGCTCCCCCTTCGCAGGGAGCACCTCCAGGGGTGTGGAGAGGGCGGGAGCCAGGCCCCCCTGGCAGGGAGAGGGGGGAATCTACAGCTGGTCTGTAAAGGGACCTCAGCCTCAGCACCCTGCACAGCCCGCCCCGTGCCACATGCCCGCATGTGGCTGCCCCCACGCCTGGCCATGCCAGCAGAGCTTGGAGTAGGCCTCAGAGGGGAGTCAGTCTAGCCCGTAGCTCAGTCGGTTAGAGCACCATCCTGACATTGCCAAGGTTGTGGGTCCCACCCCTGCTCAGGGCACAGGCAACCAATGAGTGCATATACAAGTGGCGCAGCAACCCATGCTTCTCTCTCTCAAATCAATAAATGTTTTTCATCTTGTTTTAAAGGCGTGTGAGAGCCACACAGGATGGCCTCCTGAGCCTCTTCGCCCCGATAACTGACAGGAGCCACCCACAGGGTGGGGGGAGGGGGGAGACAGACATCAAACTCCCTCCTTGCCGCTTATGGGAGGGGCTTCCAGCTTCCAGCCGGAGGCCAGCCCCCCACACACACACACACACAGCCCCACAGCCTCTGAAGCTGGAGCTAAGGGGGCAGGCAGAGTGGTAGCTTATGCCCAGGGGCCTGCAGAAACCCATGCGTCGGGCTGCAGGTCACCTGAGTAAGCTACTCCTCCCAGCTCTGCCCCCCCCCCCCCCCACACACACACACACACCCCGCTTCAGGCTGCCTCACCTCCGCCTGGGCAGCCCCGCCCTACCCTGGGCGGCCCAGGTGCCTGACTCACGTCCGGCCACCAGCCTCATCGCCCCCTTCCTGGACGTCGCCCTGGGTGCCTGTGTCCACACTCCCGGCACCTCCACCCAGCCCAGCTCTAGCTGACACTCCAGGCCGGAGCTCCCTGGGGAGGCTCAACCAAGTGTGTGGGGGGGGGAAGACAGAAAAAAGTGAGAGAAGAGGGTGCCAGGGAGGGCAGGGCAGGGCCCCTGGCATTTACCACCCCCCCCCTCACAGCCCACTCCCCACCTTTTAAGCAAAGGCTGAGCCAGACCCGGGCCCCACCCACTGCGGGCCACCCAGACTCCTCCCCCTCCCCACCCTCTGGGATACCCAGGCAAGCCCAACCGGCCCCTCCTCTGAGGGAAGCCCTTTGCCTGGGGTGCCAGGCGAGGAAGCCAGTGGCCACAGCCCCCCCAGCGAGGACTTGGGGCGGCCGGGCCCTGGCACCTCCAGGCTCAGGCTGCAGCCGGCGGACACAGCACAGACTCAGCGATTGCATTTCAGCTTTATTTCACTCCCAGCCGAGCTCAGAGATAGGTCCGGGCCACGGGCACCAGGGAGCGGGCCTGGGCGCCCCACCTAACCCGGGTGGGGGGCTGTCTTGTCCACGCCTGCCTGCCTCCTTCACCTGGGGGGTCCCCCAGAAACCGCCTCCTCAGCGAGGGCCGCATGGCAGAGCCGGAGCCCGGGCAAGGGGCTGCTGGTGGGGGCCAGCTATTGCTCCTGCAAACAGGCCTCTCCCGGCTCCACCTCAGCGCCCCAGCGCCGGCCATGGAGGCCCCCGGGGCCCAGGCCTTGTCCAGGGCCTGGCCCCAGTCGCCCTGGCTCCCCACGTTCACGGGCTGTCTGGGGCCCCGGGTGGGACTCTGCGTTCCCCAGCTTCCGGTCCACGTGGTGTCATTGGCTGAGGGAAGGGGTGAGAGGGGGCTTCTCCGGGTCCTGCACCTCGAGGCCTGGAAGGAGAGGCTCGGCTCAGCTCAGGCCCGCGCCCTCGGGGACTGCCCCCCGGACCTGCCACAGGCCCTCCTCCGTGCCCTCCGCGCCCCCTGCCTCCCGGCTGCACCCAGCGGGGAATGCTGCTCCCACACACAGCAACTCGGCCCGCGTTCACCTCCCGTCTTTGCTCCGACTTCGCCCCCTCCCTCCGCCTACCTCGGGCACCTAATTAACTGCACCCCACCCAGTGCTCCGGCCTCACTGTCCCAGAGCAGCCACTTCCTAACACTCAGGTCGAGAGCAAAACAACAACGGACTGCAAAGACTTCGGACGGAAAGAGTATAAAATACTCCGGCAATGACCTTTCACCCTGACTGCGTGTTAAAATGGCGGTACTTCGGGCCGACTGGGTTAAATAACATGCTATTAGGCTTACCTGTCTCTGCTTTTTCTGATGAGGCTACCAGAAGCTTTTAAACTACATGCAGCTCACGTCTTATTTCTGTTGGGCTATTGTGTCATTGCTATCCTCATGCATATGGCTTACCGCCTGCCCCCTACCCACAACGTTCCCCGTCGGCCCCGCTGGCACACCCCTGGCACCGGGAGAGGCTGTTTGCCCGGTGGGTGAAGGGATGAGTGGGCACTGCCAGGGCCACACACAGGGCAGACGCCCCTCACCCTCTCGGCCGGCGCCTGCTTCCTGTTCCGCCAGCGTCTCAATGGAGCCGTCCCATCCCGCGCCAGGTCCTGCGGGACACAGGGCAGCTACTGGCCGCAGGGACCGGACAGGGCGGGGGCGCCCCTCCCCCAGGAGCCGCCGGGGCCGCGGGAAGCGGGACCCGGGCCCTCACCTTTGCCCTGGGAGCCCGGGTGGCGCTGTCGGAACCGCTGCCGGGGGGTGTCCCCGGGGCTGAAGGACTCGGAGCTGCGCCCCACGGGGAACCTGGAGCTGAGCTTCCGCCGCCGCCCACCCAGCAGGGTCTCGTCCCGCAGGCAGAGGGAGCTCTGGGCCCGGCGCATGGGCGCGGGGGCGGGGGACCCTGCAAGAGGCGGGCACGGGTGTGGGCACGGCTGTGGGCGCGGGTGTGGGCAGGGTGTGGGCACGGGTGTGAGCACGGGTGTGGGCATGGGTGTGGGCATGGGTGTGGGCACGGGTGTGGACACGGGTGTGGGCACGGGTGTGGACATGGGTGTGGGCATGGGTGTGGGCACGGGTGTGGGCACGGGTGTGAGCGCGGGTGTGGGCACGGGTGTGGGCATGGGTGTGGGCATGGGTGTGGGCACGGGTGTGGGCACGGGTGTGGGCATGGGTGTGGGCATGGGTGTGGGCACGGGTGTGGACACGGGTGTGGACATGGGTGTGGGCATGGGTGTGGGCACGGGTGTGGGCACGGGTGTGGGCACGGGTGTGAGCGCGGGTGTGGGCACGGGTGTGGGCATGGGTGTGGGCACGGGTGTGGGCACGGGTGTGAGCGTGGGTGTGGGCATGGGTGTGGGCACGGGTGTGAGCGTGGGTGTGGGCATGGGTGTGGGCACGGGTGTGAGCGTGGGTGTGGACATGGGTGTGAGCGTGGGTGTGGACACGGGTGTGAGCGCAGTGCCGGGGGGCAGGGGGAGCAGAGTGAGGCAGCAGGTGAAGCCGCAGGCCGGGAGAGGAGGCGGCAGAGGCGGGGAAGAGGGTCTGGGTGACCCGAGGCCGGGCCCTCTCTGGCTCTGACACTAACTCACTCGGTGACCTTGAGCCAGGCGCTTCCCCGCCCTGGGCCTCGGCCTCCTCGCCTGTCACTGGAATAAGGGCCCCTCACTAAAGCCCCCGGCTCCGGGTCCCAGGCACCGCGGGGCGGGCAGGACTGGCGGGGGCAGCGCGGCAGGAGGAGGTGGCGGAGGAGACGCACTGGGACGCGGAGCCAAGCACCACGGGAACCATGGGGGGGCGGGCGGGGGCGAATGGGAGGCGATGGGGCAGGTGCTCAGCTGCACAGGAGGAGGCCGGCAGCGGAGCAGGCGGCGGGGAGGGACACGGGGAGGGACCACCGGGCACCTGGCCCCAGACCCACCTGGCCCATCCGCCTCCCTGCCCTCGGAGAGCTCCGCCTCGGGGGCCCCCAGGCTTTCGGTGCTGCCGGCACCATCGGCCCACAGGCGCGGCCCCCCGGGGAGGCCCCCCTCCCGCCGGGGCCGCATCAGCCTCTTCACCTTGTCTGCCAGCCAGCTGCCCTTCCTGGAGCGAGAGGGCACAGAGGGGTAAGGCGGGGGGAGGGAGAGGGCACAGAGGGGTGAGGCGGGGGGAGGGAGAGAGGGCACAGAGGGGTGAGGCGGGGGGAGGGAGAGGGCACAGAGGGGTAAGGTGGGGGGAGGGAGAGAGGGCACAGAGGGGTAAGGCGGGGGGAGGGAGAGGGCACACAGAGGGGGTCAGGCGGGGAGAGAGGGCACAGAGGGTAAGGCGGGGGGAGGGAGAGAGGGCACAGAGGGGTAAGGCGGGGGGAGGGAGAGAGGGCACAGAGGGGTGAGGCGGGGGGAGGGAGAGGGCACAGAGGGGTAAGGCAGGGGGAGGGAGAGAGGGCACAGAGGGGTAAGGCGGGGGGAGGGAGAGAGGGCACAGAGGGGTGAGGCGGGGGGGGGGAGAGGGCACAGAGGGGTGAGGCGGGGGGAGGGAGAGAGGGCACAGAGGGGTGAGGCGGGGGGGGAGGAGAGGGCACAGAGGGGGGAGGCGGGGGGAGGGAGAGAGGGCACAGAGGGGGAGGGGGGGGTGGAGGGAGAGGGGCACAGATGGGCTGAGGCGGGGGGGGAGAGAGAGGGCACAGAGGGGTGAGGCGGGGGGAGGGAGGGGGCACAGAGGGGTGAAGGCGGGGGGAGGGAGAGAGGGCACAGAGGGGTGAGGCGGGGGGAGGGAGACGAGGGCACAGAGGGGTAAGGCGGGGGGAGGGAGAGAGGGCACAGAGGGGTGAGGCGGGGGGAGGGAGAGAGGGCACAGAGGGGTAAGGCGGGGGGGGGGGGGGGAGGGCACAGAGGGGGTAAGGCGGGGGGAGGGAGAGAGGGCACAGAGGGGTGAGGCGGGGGGAGGGAGAGGGCACAGAGGGGTAAGGCGGGGGGAGGGAGAGGGGGCACAGGGGGGGAGGCGGGGGGGGAGGGAGAGGGCACAGAGGGGTGAGGCGGGGGGAGGGAGAGAGGGCACAGAGGGGTGAGGCGGGGGGAGGGAGAGGGCACAGAGGGGTGAGGCGGGGGGAGGGAGAGGGCACAGAGGGGTGAGGCGGGGGGAGGGAGAGAGGGCACAGAGGGGTAAGGCGGGGGGAGGGAGAGGGCACAGAGGGGTAAGGCGGGGGGAGGGAGAGAGGGCACAGAGGGGGTAAGGCGGGGGGAGGGAGAGAGGGCACAGAGGGGTAAGGCGGGGGGAGGGAGAGAGGGCACAGAGGGGGGAAGGCGGGGGGAGGGAGAGGGCACAGAGGGGGGAAGGCGGGGGGAGGGAGACGGCACAGAGGGGGAAGCAGGGGGAGGGAGAGGGCACAGAGGGGTAAGGCGGGGGGGAGGGAGGGGGGGCAGAGAGGGGGAAGGCGGGGGGGAGAAGGAGAGGGCACAGGGGGGCACAGAGAGGGCACAGAGGGTGAGGGGTGAGGGGGGGGGAGGGAGAGGGCACAGAGGGGTGAGGCGGGTGGCGGGAGGAAGGAGGGCACAGCGGGGGTGGGCGGGGGGAGGGAGAGAGAAGGGCACAGAGGGGTGAGCGCGGGGGGGAGGGAGAGAGAGGGCACAGAGGGGTGAGGGCGGGGGGAGGGAGAGGGCACAGAGGGGTGAGGCGGGGGGAGGGGAGAGGGCACAGAGGGGTAGGCGGGGGGGGGGAGAGAGGGCACAGAGGGGTAAGGCGGGGGGAGGGAGAGAGAGGGCACAGAGGGGGTTAAGGCGGGGGGGGGGAGAGAGGCAGGAGAGGGGTTAGGCGGGGGGAGGGAGAGAGGGCACAGAGGGGGTAAGGCGGGGGGGGGAGAGAGGGCACAGAGGGGGTAAGGCGGGGGGAGGGAGAGAGGGCACAGAGGGGGGTAAAGGCGGGGGGAGGGAGAGGGCACAGAGGGGGGAAGGCGGGGGGAGGGAGAGGGCACAGAGGGGGGAAGGCGGGGGGAGGGAGACGGCACAGAGGGGGGAAGGCAGGGGGAGGGAGAGGGCACAGAGGGGTAAGGCGGGGGGAGGGAGGAGAGGGCACAGAGGGGGGAAGGCGGGGGGGAAGGAGAGGGCACAGAGGGGGCACAGAGAGGGCACAGAGGGGGGAAGGCGGGGGGAGGGAGAGGGCACAGAGGGGTAAGGCGGGGGGAGGGAGGAGAGGGCACAGAGGGGTGAGGCGGGGGGAGGGAGAGAGGGCACAGAGGGGTGAGGCGGGGGGAGGGAGGGGGGGCACAGAGGGGGGAAGGCGGGGGGGGGGGAAGGAGAGGGCACAGAGGGGTAAGGCGGGGGGGGAAGGAGAGGGCACAGAGGGGTAAGGCGGGGAGAGGGCACAGAGGGGTGAGGCGGGGGGGGAAGGAGAGGGCACAGAGGGGGCACAGAGAGGGCACAGAGGGGTAAGGCGGGGAGAGGGAGGAGAGGGCACAGAGGGGGGAAGGCGGGGATGAGAGGCCAGGCAAACCCTCAGGGCCCGGACTGTGCTGGGCCAGGCCCGAGGGCAGGCAGGCCAGGCTGGGGGCCCCACACAGGGGTGAAGGGACCACTCACTTGGTCCGGGGCAGGGGCCCCGGCTCCAGCACACGGTACTGGTCCATGATCTTCTCCACCAGCTTCTGCTTCTCCCGGCGCAGGGCGTTGAGCTGGTCCCTGCGGGGGGTGGGGGAGGGGGGGTTTGGGGGGGGCGGGGAGCAGCCTGAGGCCGGGCCGGAGGGGGCTCAGCTGCCAGCAGGCACAGCCCGCACGTAGCACTGTCCCGCCTGTGTGGGGGGCACTGCCACTGCCCAGCCCCGGGTCAGCCCAGGACTCCCTGGGCGTCTGCCCCTGAACAACCACATGTGTCTTCAGGGCCAGCACCCACTGCCCGCGCCCTCTGCCCTCCACCCGCTGACCCCCACCAGCTGACCCTCACCCACTGCCCCCACCCACTGCCCTCCAGACTGCTGCCCCCGCCCGCTGACCCCACCAGCTGACCCTCACCCACTGCCCCCGCCCACTGCCCTCCAGACTGCTGCCCCCGCCCGCTGACCCCCACCCGCTGACCCCGCCCACCGCCCCGCCCACTGCCCTCCAGACTGCAGCCCCGTCCGCTGACCCCGCCCACCGCCCCGCCCCGCCCCCGCCGCTCACAGGTACTCGCGCTGCTCCCGGTGCAGGTGGTCCCGGCTCTCCAGGCTGCGCTCCAGGAGCTCCCGGTTCTCCCGGCTCAGGGCCTGCACCTCGGCCAGCAGCTGCCGGTTCTCCTCCTCCTGGGCGCTCCGCAGCTCTGTCAGCAGCTGGGGGCAGGCAGCAGGCAGGCGGGGTTAACGGGGCTCGGAGTGGCTCCTTCACATGCCCTCACTCGGTCCCCAGCCCCAGCCCCCCAGCGCTGTTCCGGCCACCTCTGCCCTCACACCTCACACTGCCCCTCACACACCTCACACTGCCCCTCACACAACTCACACCGCCCCTCACACACCTCACACCTCACAGCGCCCCTCACACCTCACACCGCCCCTCACACCTCACACCGCCCCTCACACCTCACACCGCCCCTAACACACCTCACACCCCCCTCACACCTCACACCGCCCCTCACACACCTCACACCCCCCTCACACACCTCACACCCCCCTCACACCTCACACCACCCCTCACACCTCACACCGCCCCTCACACCTCACACCGCCCTCACACCTCACACCTCACAGCGCCCCTCACACACCTCACACCGCCCCTCACACCTCACACCTCACACCGCCCCTCACACCTCACACCGCCCCTCACACCTCACACCGCCCCTCACACACCTCACACCCCCCTCACACCTCACACCGCCCCTAACACCCCTCACACCTCACACCGCCCCTCACACCTCACACCGCCCCTCACACCTCACACCTCACACCGCCCCTCACACCTCACACCGCCCCTCACACACCTCACACCGCCCCTCACACCTCACACCGCCCCTCACACCTCACACCCCCCTCACACCTCACACCTCACACCGCCCCTCACACCTCACACCGCCCCTCACACCTCACACCCCCCTCACACCTCACACCGCCCCTCACACCTCACACCTCACACCGCCCCTCACACCTCACACCTCACAGCGCCCCTCACACCTCACACCGCCCCTCACACACCTCACACCGCCCCTCACACCTCACACCGCCCCTCACACACCTCACACCGCCCCTCACACCTCACACCCCCCCCTCACACCTCACACCGCCCCTCACACCTCACACCGCCCCTCACACCTCACACCGCCCCTCACACCTCACACCGCCCCTCACACCTCACACCTCACACCCCCCTCACACCTCACACCGCCCCTCACACCTCACACCTCACAGCGCCCCTCACACCTCACACCGCCCCTCACACACCTCACAGCGCCCCTCACACACCTCACAGCGCCCCTCACACACCTCACAGCGCCCCTCACACCTCACACCGCCCCTCACACACCTCACACCGCCCCTCACACACCTCACAGCGCCCCTCACACACCTCACACCGCCCCTCACACCTCACACCGCCCCTCACACCTCACACCGCCCCTCACACACCTCACACCGCCCCTCACACCTCACACCGCCCCTCACACACCTCACACCGCCCCTCACACCTCACACCCCCCTCACACCTCACACCGCCCTCACACCTCACACCGCCCCTCACACCTCACACCGCCCCTCACACCTCACACCGCCCCTCACACACCTCACACCGCCCCTCACACACCTCACAGCGCCCCTCACACCTCACACCCCCCTCACACCTCACACCGCCCTCACACCTCACACCGCCCCTCACACACCTCACACCGCCCCTCACACCTCACACCCCCCTCACGCCTCACACCGCCCCTCACACCTCACACCGCCCCTCACACCTCACACCGCCCCTCACGCCTCACACCGCCCCTCACGCCTCACACCGCCCCTCACGCCTCACACCGCCCCTCACACCTCACACCGCCCCTCACACACCTCACACCCCCCTCACACCTCACACCGCCCCTCACACACCTCACACCGCCCTCACACCTCACACCCGCCCTCACACCTCACACTGCGTGGTCAGCCGGCAGGCGCTCAGGTCCAGCTGCTGGTTGCTCTCACGCAGCCGCTGGCTCTGCAGCTCCAGCTGTGCCCGCTCCAGCTCCAGCCGCGCCAGCCGGCCCCGCAGCTCCCCGCGCTCGCCCTGCAGCTCCCCTCGCTCCCGGGACATCTCTGCCAGCAGCTGCTGCGCCCTGTGGGGACAGGAGAGGTGCTCACACCTCAGCTCACACCTGGCACAGCCCCCCAGCCAGGGCCAGAGGGCTGTGCCAGGGAGGGCAGCGCAGGCCCTCACAGGGACGGTGCCTGCTCCCCACCCGCACTGCACGGGCAGCCCTGGGGGGCCCGGGGACGGCTGGCGGCTGGCCGTGCCGCTGGTACCTGTCGTGCTCGCTCTGCAGCCTCCGCAGCTCCTCCTCCAGGCCGCGCTGCCGGTGGCCGTCCTGCATCAGGCGCTCGCGCTCCGCCAGGAGGGCCTGCTCCTGTGCCTCCACGTTGGCCTTCTGGGCCTGCAGCTGCTCGTGCCTGGGACGGACAGAGGCTGAGGGGGCTGCGGGCCTGGGTCCGGGCAGGCAGGCAGCCGGGCTGCCTGCACCTGGGGTCTGCCAGGACCTGCTGCCCGAGCTCGCCGCTCCCAAGGAGGCACAGCCTGGAGGTGGCACCGGGGCCAGTGCTTCCGTCCGGGGGAGACTCACCGGCCCTGCAGCTCCCGGTGGGCCAGCTCCAGGGCCCGCATGTTGGCCTTGAGGTCCCGGTGCCGGGCCAGCAGCGCCTCCAGCTCGGCCTCCTGCCGCCGCTGCAGCTCGACCAGTGCCTCGTGGTCCCGCAGCAGCGCCTGCTGCTGCCCGCGGGTCTCCTCCTGGGACCGCCGTGCAGCCTGCACCTCTGCCTCCAGCACCTCCAGCTTCCTGTGCAGCTCCTGGCCCTGCAGCTCCAGCGCAGACTTCTCGGCCTGGGGCAGAGGAGGGAGTGGGGCCCAGGCCGGAGAGGGAGCAAGCGACAGGGGCGGGCAGAGGGCCAGGAGACAGCGCTGCGGAGGAGGCAGAGGGCTGGGGGTGGGGGGGGGCGGCAGGGAGCCAGAGGCAGAGGCACATGGGCAAGGAGAGGGGGCGGTATCATGGCAGGTGCCGGGCTGTGGGGGGGAGGGCGGGGGGCACACGCAGGATGTGACAGACGGGGCTGCCTGGCCCAGAGAGCGGGGGGACTAACGGCTGGCGGTGGAGAAGGGGCCTGAGGCAGGGAAACAGGGCACAGACGTGGGGGCTGGAGGCAGCAGAGAGGGGGAGGGGAGTGGGCAGGGGTCGGAAGGATAGCTGCCTGGGAGCTGAGGCAGGGGAAAAGCAGGAAATGATACCAAAGGGGCAGGGAACAGTGGTAAGTGGGCAGGGCTCGGTGGGGACGGGCACCCAGCCGGCTCCCACCTGCAGGCGACTGCTGTGCTCCTGTGCCTGCTGGCTCTGCTGCAGCAGCTCCTGGGCACGCCCCTGCAGGCTTCCCAGCTGCCCCTCCAGCACCTGCAGCTGCCCCTGCAGAGCCGTCTTCTCAGCCTCGAGCGTTGCATTCTGCGCGGCACAGAGGGGCGTTGGTGGCCCGGCCTCTGCCCACCGCCGCCCCCGCGCCCACCACCACCCACCACCACCCACCACTCACACTGCGCTCCACCTGGATGAGCCGCCCGCTCTGGGCCTCCGGGGTCCTCGGCTCGGCCTGCTCCTTGGGCTCCAGCCCCACGGGGCCCTGGCGCAGCTGCAGGGAGAGGCCCCGGAGGTCACGCGGGGGAGTGGCCGTGCATGGCGATGGCACGGGACCTGGACGGGGGACCTTGCCCACAAGCCCGCACTCCTGGCTCCCGTAGCTCCATCACTCGGTCCTGCCCTTGCCACCTTCTCTCGGGGCCACAGCATGCGACCTGCGCCTGCTGCTCCTCCCGCAGCTGCTGCTCCTCCTCGGGGCCCCAGGTTCAACATCACTTTCTCCAGAAAGCCTCCCCGACCAGCCCCAGGCCAAGCCAGCGAGCCAGTCTGCCGGGTGCCCACTGGCCCCTGGCGCCCCCTGTGACAGTCACCATTTTCCTGCCTCTGTGCCAGGTGACCCGTGGGCTCCCTTGCATGCGGCAGCCTGACATTGGGCTCCACCACACCCCAGTGCTGGGCCCTGAGCCCCCACGCTGCAGGGGTGTCAGAAATAACGACTGACTTAGGACGACGACAAGAGCGATTGAGCTCACTAGGAAGTGAGGGGGGCGGGGGGGGAGAGCCAAGCAAGAAAGACAGAGCAATCACCTCAGGACAAAGCCTCCAGTGCTGTCCTTGGAGGAGACAAGGCCCAGAAACCACACGGCCGTGGCAGAGTCAGCCTGACGCTCAGCTCAGTGCTCCTCCCAACAGGCCCCAAGGAAGCAGCGGGCCAGGAATTGAGGGGCAAGACCAGAGGGGCCTCTGGAGGGACGGGGCCTCTGGAGGGACGGGGCCCAGCGGCCGGGCATGTCTGTGTGCAGGACGCAGAGAGGGCGGGACGAGGCCCCGGCTCCCAGGGCCAGGCCTCACCTGGGACAGCTCCTCTTCCAGCTTCTGGGCCCTCGCCTTGAGCTTCCTCAGCGCCTCCTCCTTGCTGGTGGCCGCGGCCTGCAGCTCCGTTTTCATCCGCTGCTCCAGGCCCTGGTACCTGCAGGAGAGGCCTCGGCATCTACCCTCGCCGTGCCTCTGCCTGGGCGCTCTGCCCCCCGGGCGATGCCCCCACCTCTGCTGCTGAAACTCTTTTTCCCGGAGAAACTCCTGGCGCTCCTGAGACGCCTGCTCCAGCTCCTTCTGCAGACGCTCCAGCCGGGCCCCCAGCTCCTGGCCCCGCACCACAGCCTTCTCAAGCTCCTGAGGGCAGACAGAGGGGCTCAGGGCCCGAGGACATGCCAAGGCCATCACCCGGGGGTGGACAGACACACACAGAGGCCTGAGAGCCAGGGGACCTGGCTTTCTGTCCTTGCTCTGCCCCCCTAGACAAACAGCTTTCCCCTTCGGGCCTCTACTCCCAGGTCTGTAAAATGGGAGCAAAGCCCGGTCGCTGGGCAGTGGGTATGAAGAACTGGGGATTGGAAGCCCGGCAGGGCATGAGGGAGGCCCCCGGGCCGGAGTCAGAGGCCCCGCTCTGAGTCTTCACCTCTCTGAGCTCTTGCTTCCTGTTGTGCTCAGGGGCAGGTGGACATGCCCTGCGTGGGAAGGCCACCCTAACCATGAAGGAAAGGGGGGCGCTGCGGAAGCAGATCTGGAGAGAGCCCTGGGCCACAGGGGATGGCCACAGCAGACAGGAACTTGGTGAGCACCAGGCCTAACCACAGTGGGGCTGGGGGGGGGGGGGGGGTGAGGAGACAGAGATGCCAGGGCCCAAGGCCTCTGGCAGTTGGGCCACACCATTGCAGAATGCGGCAGGAGGCCCGATTGGAGCTGTGGACCCCAGAGGGGAGGTAGACCAAACCATTCTGAGACGTGGGGGTCCTGGCAGGATAAACCACAGGGAAAGGCCAGCTCTGAGCAAGCAGCCCGACAAATCCTGCCTCCGGAAGCCAAGCCTCGGCTCTGATCTTCCTGGCTTAGCAAGCCCCCTCCCCTCAGGTCTCCCCTCAGAAGCAATGCACTTCCAGACACCTTTGCCTACTGCCTCTCACTGGAAAAACTACAAGTCCCATGATGCCCTGCTGCTGACAGACAAGGCCTGAGGGTAAGAAGACCAGTAAATGAAGAAGAACTGAGCCTCTGCCCAGAGTCCTGCTCTGCCCTTGCCCAGGCCCTGGCCACAGCCCTCTGTACCCTCTCCGTGCACCTCCTGGTCTCCACCCAGTCCAGGAGGCCCATTTGGACAACGCCCTCGGCTCCTGGTTCTCTGACCTGGTTCCCTGGTTCCCTGGCTGGTCACCTCCTCCTGCGCCACAGCCACTTATCACCAGGAAGTGCTCCGACCAGGAAATCTCACCAAATTCCCCACTTGGTCCTCAGCCTCTTCCGCCCACTCAGTCCTCGGAGCTGGCTCTTCCAGCCACCAGCCCCACCCTCCCCCTCCCCCTCACGGCCCACCTGCTGGCATTCCCTCTCCTGCTGCCCACGCTCGCCTCAGCCACTGTCTTACAGCATCCCGGGAGGCAGGTCCTTTTGATTCTGGTTTGACAGGTGAGTAAACCAAGACTCAGAGAGGTTAAGTAACTTGCCAACAGCCACAGAGCTGGTAAGAAGGGGGTTCAGGCCATAACCCAGGCCTGCCTGACAGCACCTCAGTCACAGCCTTCAGAGTGGACCCCAGAGACAGCCTCTCAGACTTGCTCTCTTACCCACACCCCCAATTTGCACATTCCCCAGACCGTCCTGCACAGTGCCCAGCTGCGGGGGTCAACCCAACAGTGTGTTGTACCCCACCTCTCTCCCCTGGGAGGAGTCTCAGATCCGATGACTCCTCCTCTCTGAGCCTCAGTACCTTAGGGATGCTCAAGGAAGATTCCATCCCTGTCTGAGGCACACCCTCCCCACAGCCCTGACTCGAGACCCCGACACCCATCGCACTGCCTCATGCCTCCCCCGAGCCCTCTGAGGGGCCTTCCCCACCCGGCCCTGACCACTCCGCTCCATTGCCTCATGGAAACAGCTGCAACCAGGACCCGGCTGACTGGGTCCTCACCTCCTCACTGCCCTCCTCAGGTTCCGCCCTGCAAACCCATTGCACCGCCTCCTTGCTCACTGCCATCCCTCCCTCCCCCAGGCCTTCCCTCCCGGTGTGCTTCCTGGGCCAACACGGCTTCCGGCTCCCGGCACGCCCGTCTCCACCCCAGGTTAGGCGCGCTGGCTGCCTGGTACAGGCCTGGCCACCAGGAGACACCCACGCACATGCTCGAATGAATGAATAAAGGGGTTCCCAGGCCTCCTCTCCCTTCCATTTCCCGTCCGGGGCCAGCCAGCCTCACCAGCCACCTGGACCACAGGAGCTGCACACCGAGGTGCCCTCCTCAAGCCCAGCCCACGCACCAGTGGCTCTCCCTGCCGGCTCTCCCTGCCTGGGGATGGAGCACTAACACCCCAAAAGTTGGCCCACACACCTCTCAGCCCCTACTCCTCCTTCAGTGCCTTCACTCTTCGCACAGGCTGTTCCTGGGGAGGAAATGTCCTTTCCCATCTAGCGGGATCTTTTTTTTTTTTTTTTAATATTTTATTAATTTTTTACAGAGAGGAAGGGAAAAAGATAGCTAGAAACATTGATGAGAGAGAAACATCGACCAGCTGCCTCTTGCACACCCCCTACTGGGGATGTGCCCGCAACCAAATACATGCCCTTGACCGGAATCGAACCTGAGACCTTTCAGTCCACTGAGCCAAACCAGTTAGGATCATCTAATGGGATCTTGACCTTCCTCAGAACCCTCCCCAAAGCCTCTCGCCCCACCCCGGCACCAGCTCCCTCTCCCGCAGGCTCCCACAGCACCCTCTCTTATAACCAACATGCCGGCCAGCATGAACCAGGCCTCCCACCCCTCTCTCCCTTGGTCCCCCACAGGTCCCGCCAGGCAGCCACCAAGAGTACCACCCCTCGCTGGAACCAGTTTGGCTCAGTGGATAGAGCGTCAGCCTGCGGGCTGAAAGGTCCCGGGTTCAATTCGGGTCAAGGGCATGTACCTTGGTTGCGGGCACATCCCCGGTAGGGGGTGTGCAGGAGGCAACTGATCAATGATTCTCTCATCGATGTTTCTAACTCTCTATCCCTCTCTCTTCCTCTCTGTAAAAAATCAATAAAATATATATATATATTTTTTAAAAAGAGTACCACCCCTCCTTTTACAGAAGGAGGCACTGGGGTGCAGGGGAGTGACTGCTGAGGTCAGAGAGCCAGGATTTGCACCCAGGCACCCCGGCTCCCTGCCCACACTCTCATCCGCTCCAAAGTCACCCCATCTGATGGGGCGGGGCACCTGCCCTTTCCCAGGCCAGGCGAGCCTTTGGAAGGCAGGATCGGACTTCGTCTTCTTATCTCCAGCCCGGCTCGGTGCTGGGCAAAGAGGCCGAATGGAATGAATAACCCAAAACTCCAGCCACCGGCTCCCGTGGGCCTGGAACCCATTTCCCGGCCCCGGAGGGATAGAAGCCCCACGTACCTCCTTGAGGGCCTGCTGCTCCCGGCGCTCCCTCTCGGCCTGCTCCCGGCGCTGCTGGCTCTCCTGCTCCAGCACCTGCAGCCGCTCCTCGGCGGCCTCGGCCCGGGCCCGCAGCCGGGGCCCCTCCCGCTCCCACTGCCTCCGCTCCCGGCCAGCAGCCGCCAGGGCCTCTGCCAGCGCCTCCCGCTCCCGCGACGCCGCCTCCAGCTCCCGCCTGGCCGCCTGCACCGCCTCCCGCAGCCGGGCCTGCTCCCGGGCCTGGGCCTCTGCTTCCCCGTGGGCCTCGGCCTCGGCCCTCCGCGCCTCAGCCAGCTCCTCCGCGAGGCGAGCGGCCTCCGCACCCCGGGCCTCCAGCCTCCGGGCCTGGGCCTCCAGCTCAGCGCGGAGGGCCTCCTCCCTGAGGGCCTCCATCTCCCCTGGGCCTGGTCCCGCCTCCAGCAAGGCCTGGGCCTTGGGAGCCATTTCCGGCCGCTGAGCTGGGTCCCCGGTCATCCCCGCCAGCCGCGGCTCCTGCTCTCGGGCCTCTGTGTGCTCCCGGGGCAGGTGCAGCCTCTGGCCAGGGGGCTGCTGCTTCTCCAGCCGCTCCCGGGGTTCCGGCTGGCTCTCAGGGACCTCGTGTCTGAGCCCCTGGGCCGTGGGCACTGACTCCCCAGCCTCTTCTCTCAGCAACAGCTGGGCCTGACCTTTGGTCTCTGGGCCCTGAGGTGGGGGCACATGGGCAGGGGTCTGGAGAGGGGCTCCGTGGCCAGCCTCCCCCGGGGACTCCTGGGGCGCCGGGTCTAAGCTCTGGGGGGCCATGGCAGCCATCTGGAGGGGCCTCTGCGTCACTGGAGGGTCTGAATCCGATGTCTGGGGACACTCGGCTGCCCCCTGGAGGGCTGAGTCTGATGCTGGGGGAGCCAAGTCCAAGGCCGGAGGGTCTTCATCCCCCGCGGGGCCAACCGCGCCCTGAGGACCAGCGCCTGAGGCCGGCCGGGTCTGCGGAGCCACAGCCAGTGCGGGAACCACGGCGTCCTCACCCTGCTCCTCCAGCAGGGGGCGCTGAGGGCACACAGAGGGAGGCTCAGGGCCAGCGGTGCCACCAGGGAGGCCCGGGAGGACAGCGGGGAAGGGACTCGCTCACCTGGCCTCCGGGCCGCCCCTGTAGGGCCTGCAGCAGGGCGCGGAGCTCCCGGTTCTCCCGCTCCAGCGTCCGCAGCTGCCCGGCCTCCGCCTCCCTCACTTCATCGTGGATGGAGGGGGCCGCTCCCGGCAGGGGTGCTGGGGGGTGAGATGAGGTCAGGAACCCTCCCACCCTCAGTCCTGCCACACTCCCTGCACCCCTGCACCCCCAGAGGCTTGGGGGAAAGTGGGGGAGTCAGAAGCCATCCCCCCTCCCCCCCCCCCCCGCAGCTGCAGGGACACCCGGCACCCCCAGCCCAGCCCTCCACGGGGGCTCCACTCACACGCCCCGGGGGAGCCCGGCGGCGGCTCCAGGCTCCGCTGAAGCTCCAGCTCCAGCTCCACGTTCTCCTCCACCAGCTGGCCCACCTGCTGCCGCAGCGAGTCCAGCTCCTGGGGGCAGGCAGGTCAGACCCCGCAGAACGCCGGGAGGAGGGGCCCGGGGTCATGGGGGGCCTGGGGTCAGCTCACCGCGTGCGCCTCGCCCAGCCGGGTCCGCAGCAGCAGGTTCTCGCGCTGCGTCTCGTGCAGCCGCGCGCAGCGCTCCTGCGCCGCCTCCAGCCGCTCCTCCAGCAGCGCCCGGGCGGCCTCCAGCGTCCCCGCCAGCGCCCGCTCCTCCTGGGGTGAAGGGGGACAGGGCCCGTGGCTCCTGTGCCCGGCACCCAGGGCCCCCATCCTGTCTCCCGTCCCCCACCTGACCCACATCTGCCCCTTCCAGGTACCACCCCCTAGCATCTGCCCCCCACCCCCCGCCTTCTCCCCAAACCACCTTCCCAGGTCACATCCCGCGGGACCTGCTATTTTATATATATATATATATATATTTCTATTGATTTCAGAGAGGAAGGGAGAGGGATAGAGATAGAAACATCAATGATGAGAATCACTGATAGGCTGCCTCTTATCCTACTGGGGATCGAGCTCGCAACCTGGGCACGGGCCCTTGGCTGGAATGGAACCTGGGGCCCTTCAGTCTGCAGGCCGACGCTCTATCCACTGAGCTAAACCAGCTAGGGCGGGACCTGCTAATCAGCGCCCACTGTGGCCCGCCCTCCTCCCCAGGACCTACCCTTCTTCCCCCTCCATCTGCCCCACAGTCCCGGGGGGCCTTGTCCCAGACACCCTCCCACCTGTCTCTCCTGGCCATGACCGTGCCCTCAGGAAGGCCTGAGTCTCCCTGTTCCAGGCCCAAAGGTGCTCCTCCTGGCGGACCCCTCTCCCCTGCAGGCCCCGCCCTCTCCCCTGCAGGCTCCGCCCTCACCTCCAGCTGGCCCCGGCAGGCCTCGGCCGCCTGCAGCCGCTCCCGGTGGCGCCGCAGCTCCTCCTGCAGGCGGGGCAGGCGGCCCGCGCGCTCCCGCAGCGCCTCGGCCTCCTCGCGGTACAGCTCTGCCCGCTTGGCCTGGCCCGCCAGCGCCTGGGTCTGGGCCGACGGGGCGGCGTTGGGAACGGCCAGCCGCGGCGGCAGGGATCGGGGGCGTGAGGAGCCGGGCGGAGGGGCAATGGGACAGGAGGTGCGGGGAAGGTGAGGGAGGGTGGCGGACGCACCTCCTGGCGGAGCCTGCGGATTTCGGCCTCTAAGCCCTGCACCTCCTCCTGGGAGTCCAGCAGCAGCTCGGCCTTCTCCTCCCTGGAGGAAAGAGACGCTGGAGGGACCTGGGACAGCACCCCCAGCCCTGCCCTGGCCCGATGCGGCCCGTATGCGTGGGGCTGGCCGTCCCTCTCCCACTCACAGCTCCTGGCGCAGGCGGCGCAGCTGGGCCTTGGCGTTGGCCAGCTGCAGGGCCAGATGGTTGGAGGGGCCCTCCAGGGGGGTCCCCGCAGGGGCCTCAGGCAGCAAGGGGGCTGGCGCACGCTCCAACAGCAGCTCAGACAGCCGCTGTGGGGGATCAAGGGTCAGGGGTCAGAAGTAACCTACCCTGTGCCCCCCACATCTCCCTCCCATCTCTACGCCCCCCCCCTGCCCTGTCACCACAATCTGAATTTGGCTCTTACAGCCCTGTCAGCCAAGGACCCCCAACCCCAGCCCCACAGCTGGGCCTCAGCTCCCATCTCCCCCACACATGGGTCCCCGAGGTCCTCCATTCCCCCACCTGGCTCTCTATACCGTCCCCCACCCCCACTGCCCCCACCTGGGCCCCCACATCACGCTCCCGTGCCAGTCTCAGGAGGGTCCCCATCAGGCTCCGGGTCAGCATCTCCAGCTCTGCAGGTGCCAGCTCCCCAGGCTCGGGCCCAGCCAGTGCCAGCACCAGGCCCGCCCCCGGCTGGGTCACCTGGGCGGGAGGGAGAGCGTTCAGCCTAAGAAGCTGGAGGCAGGGAGTCCCCAGGCAGTGCAGGCCCGTACCTGCTGGATGGCCGCAGCCAGCTCGCTCTGCACCTCCAGGCTGAGGCCCTGGATGTGCCGGATGAAGAGTTCCCGGTGCTCACACTGCAGGGGGACCAGCGGGGGCGGGTGAGGGCCGCCGGAGCCTCCCACCTCTGCAGCCCCGCTGGGCCCGCCCAGCCGCTGCCCTCACCTGCACCGCCGCCCCCAGCAGCAGCCGGAGGACGCCTTCCAGCTCCTCCACCGCCTCCTCTGCAGGGCACAAGCCACAGGGTTAGCAGGCGGCGGAGGGGGAGACAGGAAGGGGGGTTGGGAGAGGGTACCTGAGAAGGGGTCAAACCCCAGGGCTTGAAGGTCCGGGGGTGCCGACAGGACCAGCAGCTGCAGCTCCTCCTGAGGGCGCAGAGGGGAGATGAGACGGCCTCCCCCTCCGGTGGGGGCTCCCGGCTCGGCCTCCCGCACCCAGGCCCTCACCTGGTAGAAGTCCCTCAGGCGGCACCACAGGTGGTTCAGGTTCCGCACCCGACTGGCTGCCGGGTCACCTTGGCCCCTGATCGCCCCAGGGCCCCCTCGGGAGCCAGGGGCACTGTGGGCACAGGGGGCCATTAGTTGGAAAGGGACTCGAGGACCCACCTCCCCTCAGCCAGGCCCCGCCCCAGGCCTCAGGCCCCGCCCACCAGAGCTTGAGGCCCCTTCCTTACATGATGCCCAGCACCCGGAGGAGCAGGGCCCCATCACTGAGGCGCAGGAACCTCTTCTCCGAGCAAAGGGGCCCCTCTCCTTCCTCCTCCTCGTCCTCCTCCGGCTCTTCTGCCTCTCCCACCAGCCCAGCCAGCCCCAGGGCCTGTGGGAAGCAGGGAGCCATCAGCTGGCCCAGGCGAAGCCCCATCATAGAGTGAATCCTGAGCCCCTTGGCCAGCTCCCTGCGCCCCCGGAGCCCCCTCCTCACCAAACCCCTGCACGTCCCTGGACCCCAAGATCTGGCCCCGATTCCTGCCTCACAGCTGCCTGGACTTCAGCCCCATCCGTAAGTCCAGCCCCCACAGCGCCCATCTCTGCCCCATCCTCCCCACCCCAACCCCAGCCCCTCCCCACTGCTCACTTCCCCTCCCCGCCGCCTTCCCGCCGCCTCACCCAGGTGGCCAGGCTCCCACTCAGGAAGTCTCTGAGTCTGGGTCCCGTGCCCCCGTCCATGACGGGTCAGGGTGCTGGTTGCACTGTGGCAGCTACACCTGCCCGGGAGGAAGAGGAAGTCCCGGGTGGGGGATCCCGGGCCCGGCCACAGACACCCTGCCCACTTCCTCCTTCCGGGTGCAGCCGGCCTGTGCACCCCCAGATCCTCCCTCTGCCCCGCTCGCCACGCGGCCCCCTCACAGGCACGCGAGGCCCCAGAGCAAGGCCCTCCGCTCTCCTGGCTCCTGGGCACCGGCCGGTGAGTCTCCGCCTCTCTGGGCCTCTGTCTCCCATCCTCGGCCTCGCACCTTCCAGAGCCTCTCAGGGGCCCCAGCCTTGTGGGTGAGTCTGGGTGCCCACCGCTGCCTCTGCTCATTTGCTGGCTTCTCTGGCCCTTGGTGTTTCTCCGACTTAGCCAAACTGTCGCCAATCGTGAAGCCTGGCTGGATGCCACCCCTCCCAGCGAGCCCCCACCCCGTATTCTATGTGCACCAGGCTGAGACGGGGCATCTGGACCACGGGCAGGTGGCCTCTCGGGCCTCAGTGTCCTGTTTGTAAAAGAAGTGGGTGGGGCTTCTGAGGGAGGAGTTCACTCAGAGACCAACAGCGTTGTCTCTTAGGCCCCGTGGTGGGCAAACTGCGGCTCGAGAGCCACAGGCGGCTCTTTGGCCCCTTGAGTGTGGCTCTTCCACAAAATACCATGGCCTGGGCAAGTCTATGTTGAAGAAGTGGCGTCAGAGGAAGTTTAAGTTTAAAAAATGTGGCTCTCAGAAGAAATTCCAGTCGTTGTACTGCTGATATTTGGCTCCGTGGGCTAATGAGTTTGCCGACCACTGGCCTAGACCAACAGGTCAGGACCTCTCCGTTCCCCGCTGCTCTCTTCCGGCCACATTCATTCACCACACGGTCCCTGGGGAGACAGCCACCCCAAAATCACTCTGTAACGCAGCAGCGATGAGAGGGGATTTCACTTCCGGAAAGGCACCAGAGGGCTCAACAATGAAAGAGAAAAAAGATTGAAATAATAAACAAGAAATTTTAAATTAAGAAAATAAGTGGTCCTGGCGGATTTGGTTCAGTGACTGGAGCATTGGCCTGTGGACTAAAGGGTCCCGGGTTCGATTCCAATTAAGGGCACCAGGCCCAGGTTGTGGGCTCGATCCCCAGTAGTGAGTGTGCAGGAGGCAGCCAATCAATGATTCCCTCTTATCATTGAAGTTTCTATCTTGCCCTCTCCCTTCCTCTCTGAAATAAATAAAAATAAGTACTTATAAAAATTTTATAAATGGAATCCTGGCCAGTGTGGCTCAGTTGGTTGGGCATCATTCCCTGCACTGACAGGTCAGGGCACATGCGCCGGTTGTGAGTTCGGCCCCTGGCTGAGAAGACAACAAATCAATGTTCCTCTCTCTCTTCCTCCCTCTCTCGTTTTCTCTCTAAAAATCAATAAAAACATTAATACAAAAACAACAACAGCAGAGCTGAGATCGGGGTGGCTGGGTTACTGAGGCAAAGTGGGGAGGGAGGAAGGCAATCCGGGCAGCGGGGAGGGAAGCACAATGGCTCTGCGGCAGCTGGCAGTGTGACCAGCATTAGATCCAGAAATCGTTTGTGTTTCATCGACTCCAACACTTTATTTCTCACATTTAAATCTCCAATTTAAATCAAAGTGACGCGGTGGTGCTGCTGGCCGTTCTGACACAGCTTAGGAATGCGTTTGCCCAGGACAAGTGAGTGAAACACGGACCCTAGATTCTCGCCAGCGGACAGAGGAGGAAACAGTGACTCAGGTCAGTGACTTCTCAACGGCACAAGGCTCTTAGCAGAGAACCAACTGAGGGGAGGCAGAGGGGCCAGGGCGCCAAGATGCTCAGGGCCGGGGTGGGCTGGCCCGGCCAGGCAGGGGAGCCACGCAGGGGTCGGCAGGAGCCGTCTGACCGAGGTGCACCCGCAGAGGGCCATCGCTCGGAGTCGTCCTGAGGAGTCCGGAGCGGGTGGCTCAGACGTTCCTGAAACGCTCCCGGGCGGTTCGGATATCAGGGTCCGTCCCCGTCGGACCCCCTGTGAATGGTACTTCTGCTTGGATGCCGCCGTGGACTCCAGCCCAGGAAGCCCTCGGGGGCGTCCCCTCGGGGCCTCATCTCCTAGCCGCAGGCTTCCTCGGCCCCCGGGGCAGGGGCCGTGTCGCAATTGCTCTCACATCCTCACTCCGGACACGCCTGGCAGCGCCCTGTCTGGCCGGCTCTCTGGCTTGGTTCAGCTGAGTCAGGCCAGGGAGGCGGGGGGAGTGGAGGCTGCGAGGGGCTCCCTCACCCCCGACCCACGGATGCGGGGACTTCCAGGCTCCTTAGCTGAGGAGGGATGTTCATCAGAGGCTGGCAGGGGTCCCCTTCCTTTGAACACATTTTTCCTGTGAAGTTTTCGGATACCTGATCAAAAATGTCAGGAGTGCATAAGGGTATAGAAAAATTTAGTCTTCCCCTGACACACCCAACGCCCCTGTTCTCGATCCCCCCCTCACGTTTTCTGTGTCCCCCTGGGATGTCCCTGCCCAAGTCTGTAGCAGGTGGTTGCAACCACACCCACAGCTGGGCACCTCCTTGTTGGGCAACACATTTTGCAACCTGCCTCACTGCTGCAAGGACCCTAGGCCTTGGCCTTGGCGGCTGGCTGTGTGGAATTCTAACACATCGTTACTCAAACCAGCGGGCCCAGCCTTGCGGACCTCCTGGGCCACCGGTTGGTGACCGCTGACTTAAACTGTCTTGTTGACAAATATTTTACATATTTGCATCTTTTGCCATTGCTTCAGTGCCGTAGTAAGTGCCCTTCTCAGATAGCTTTTTCTGGCGGGTTTTGGGGAGTTCATGGCATGGGGACCCGAGAAGTAGGTGAAAAGCAGAGAAAGATGCAGACACACGGACAACGGGGGAACTGCCGCCGTGTCCCTGCCGCCTCCTGCCTGGGGCTCGGCGTCCCCTCTGCACAGCCGGGGAGGGGCGGGGACGGAAGAGCAGGGTCTGACCCTAAGGCCGGAGCAGAGGACGCTGGGCCGGAAGGAACAGGGCTCACGGAGGCCAGGGGAGGTGGTGGCCTGGTCCAGCCGGAGCCCTGGCCCAACAAGGGCTGAGTCAGAGCGGTGTTTTCTCCCAGAGCCCGCCTGGCACTCAGCACCCCGGGGCCGGGGTGGTGGGGGGGCGGGCAGCTCCTTAACCATACGGGCTGGGCCCCAGGCTCAAACACTGGAGCAGCCTCCAGGGCCTCTGGTCTAGAGCCCGAGGGGCTCCCTCCCTCACCACCCAAGTGTGTGGGACAGATGGGGCGGCAGGAGGAGGCAGTGGGAGCCGAAGCCAGGGAGGACGGGCCCAGTGCCCAGTGCCAGGCCAGGTGCCCAGGGACAGGGTGTGGCCTGCAGAACCGGACGGAGCTGCTGAACACATCCCAGCCCCACGGCTGCCCCTCGGCCAGCTCTCCCTTCCTGCCCTCCCCAGGGCACCCCACACTTCTGGGGGACCCTGCCCTGCCTCCCCGGAGCCCTTCACCACGGCTGGGACACTGGCACCGGCCCTCCTCTAGGCAGCCTCCGCCTAGTGCCCAGGGAGCCATGTGAAAATAATATTAGCTGCTCATGTCCCTTCCCACCCTCCCCTCAGCGGCGCCTCCCTGTACTTTGTGGGTGTTTGTTTTTTTGGGGGGGGGGTATTTGGTTTTTTAATGTAACTTTTATTTATTTTTAAGCAATCCTACCCAGGCATACTTTTCCATTGATTTTTTTAAAAATATATTTTATTGATTTTTGTACAGAGAGGAAGGGAGAGAGGTAGAGAGTTAGAAACATCGATGAGAGAGAGTCATCGATCAGCTGCCTCTTGCACACCCCCTACTGGGGATATGCCCGCAACCAAGGCACATGCCCTTGACAGGAATCGAACCCGGGACCCTTCAGTCTCCAAGCCGACGCTCTATCCATTGAGCCAAACCGATCTTGGCTCCATTGATTTTTTAGAGAGTGGAAGGGAAAGGGAGAGACAGGGAAACTGAAGTGAGAGAGACATGATGATTGGTTGCCTCCTGCATGCCCCTGAGGAGGGCCGGGAGCCTGCAACTAAAGTATGTGTCCTTGACCGGAATTGAATGTTATAAAAATGCTCCATCCACTGAGCCAAACCAGCTAAGGCTCATCTCCTCCTTTAAAAAAGAAATATATATATTTTAATTGATTTCAGAGAGGAAGGGAGAGAAACATCAATGATGAGAGAGAATCATTGATCAGCTGCCTCCTGCACACCCATGGATTTTTAGGGTGAGTGGAAGAGAAAGGGAGAGAAACATCGGTGTGAGAGAGAGAGCCTGACCAGGGCCTGAGCCAGGGAGGAGCCTGCAACCAAGGTGCACGTCCTTGATCCCTCCAGGGGATCAAGCCCACAACCTGAGCATGTGCCCTTGGCCAGAATCACACCCGGACCTCCCAGTCCACAGTCTAACGCTCTATCCACTGAGCCAAACCCCCAAGGCCGCTCTGCTCGGGCCCAATCCTCGCCGTGGCCACGGCTGGCTGCTCACCCTCCTTTGCCGCTTAGTCGCAGACCGTGGTTTCCAGTTAGACCCACGGCGCCCGGAGCGAAGGAGGCCTTCCCCAGGGCCTCCCAGTTAGCGTGGCCACGCGAGCACGCTCCGCCCAGCGAGACGCCCGAGGAAAGGATGCGGGGCGGCCTCCAGGAGACCTCAGCCAGCTGACACAGGTCTTTCATCTCCTTCCCGCCGGCTGGCCCACCTGTGGCGGCTGGAGCTCGAGCACCCACATGTTTTTTTTTTGTTTTGTTTTTTTTTTTTTTGTTTTTTTTTTTTTTTTTTTTTAGAGGGTGCAGTTTATGTTGCATTTTATTTTATTTATTTTTTTTAAATATATTTTATTGATTTTGTACAGAGAGGAAGGGAGAGAGATAGAGAGCCAGAAACATCGATGAGAGAGAGTCATCGATCAGCTGCCTCCTGCACACCCCCTACTGGGGATATGCCCGCAACCAAGGTACATGCCCTTGACCGGAATCGAACCCGGGACCCTTCAGTCCCCAAGCCGATGCTCTATCCATTGAGCCAAACCGGTCCCGGCATCGAGCACCCACATGTTAACAGTGACAGCGCAGCCAGAGGGAGCAGCGTGGGCCCCCGATCGCCTGGAGCTGCCACACCAGCCCGAGGCGGTGGGCCTGTGGCTCTCCCTCCCCGGCCGGCTCCCAGCGCCCTCTCCTCTCCCTCAGCTGGGCGCGTTGTGTGGGGCAGCAGCCCACCTGCACACCTCCAGCCGCTGACCCTCTCCCGGAGCACCTCCACGGCCCCTCCTCACCCTTCTCCCTGACCCCGTGAGTGCGGCCTGGTCAGCCCCGGGGGTGGGAGGAGGCTCCGAGCTGGTGCTGGGTGAGTCAAGCTGGACACACAGGCACTTTATTGCCTTCACAGAAGAGGCATTTCTTACAAACTGAAGATAAGCCCTCTTATCTTCAGTTTAAGATAAGCACAAAGATTAGCCCCTCGGAGCCTCCCTCCCCCGGGGCCAGGGGTGTGTGTGTCCCCTGCCCCATCGCCCAGGGCCAGAGCACATCTCAGACCAACCCAGAGGCCAGCCTGCAGGCCCCGTTCTTCCCAAGAATGTGCTTCTATCGCTAAGAAATCTGACTTCCATTTCCTGGAACTCTCTGGGTATTGCCTCGTTGTGTTTCTGGTTTGAAAACCCTAAAACCTTTGAATAAATCATCATTTGTTTCTAGTTAAAACCTCCTGATTTCATCTACGCTCCGTCAACATAGCCCACCTGAATGGCCCGCACCCCAGCTTAGGCTGTGACCTCCCAACCGCAGGGGCCTAATAATCCTGCTTGCTGCTAAGCACTTGGCTTCCCGGGACAAATGCAAAGGCCCAAGAGCAGGGTCTGAAGAAGGTAACAGCCCAGCCCCAATCCCACCGGCCTCCCTGATCCCCGGCTGCTCACAGTACGCCCACCACTGGTCAGGCCTCACCCCGTCTTCTCCCCTCCACACTTCACCTAGTCTCCTCTTCCAGGGAGCCCTCCTGGACTGAACCAGCACTGCCTCTACTGATGAAGCCTTCTGCTAGTCAGATGGTCCCAAGGTGCCTTCCCAGGATGTGGGTGCTCCTGGGAGGGTTCAACAGTCTGGAAAAATGGTGGGGCTGGGGCATGAGCCAAAGTTCCTAGCCTAGAGTTCATGGTCTAAACGAGATCAACCAGTATCCAGAGATCGAATGCAGAAGTCTGGGCATAGGCCGGCTCTGGCTGCCTAGGGCCTTTCCAGCTCTGCCCGCTCTGTCTGCTCCTTCCCTTGCCCTTCAGAACACTGGCCCTTTCTCTGCTTGCGGACGGGTGCTCCCTAACTCCTCCCCCAAAAGGCCTTCCCTCACCAGCCCCAAAATTAAGCAAAGGTCCCCTCTAGCCGTCCCCCCCAGTCCCCGCCCCACCCGCACAGCTATGACTGCATGAGGCCTGGGCCACAGCCAATCAGCAACTCAACATCCGGGAGCCAGGCGTGAACCAGGTGTTTATTGCAGAAGTCTGGCTAAGGCTCCCGCGTGGTGGCCAGCTGAAGCTGGACGGGCCTCGCCCTGGCTGGGCAGGTGTAGGAGGAGAGGGCCGTCCGGCCAGGGCCTCAGAGCTGCGAGAGGATGTTGGGGGCCAGGCTGCAGGTGAGGCCTGTGCCGTCCGGCTCCACGTTGAGGGCCTTCACTACCCCGTTCTCTATCACCATGGAGAACCTGCCAGAGAGGGCGGGCCCGTTACAAGCGCTGGGCCTGGAGGCTGGGAACAGAGGGAACCCCACGGGGAACCTCCCACTTTTACCTCTTGAGCCGTCGATTCCCAAAGAGGGGCACCAGTGCGTCATCCAGTAACAAATCTGTCTCCTAAGAAGAGAGACAGAAACAAGGGTCAGGAACCCCAAGAACAGCCAAACTCCCTGGCTGCTCCCCACATGGGTCATGACCCTCTAAATCCCTGCTTCCAAGGCCTGGCCGAGGGGCCCAGTCCAGCTGCAGGGGGGGGGGGGGGGGGGGTTTGTACTCACCTTCCCAAAGGCCCCCGTGGGGTCAGCCAGAAGCCGAATCTAAAGAGAAAGTCAAGGTCACAGAAAAGCCTCCCGCCTGGCCCCTGACCCCTGACCCCTGCGGGACCCACGCCTCACCTTGCCTTGTGTGCTGTGGGCTCGGCCCCACTCCTCAGTCACAAAGACGTCGTTAACACTCAGACAGGCCACCACCTGGGCGCCCTTGGCCTTCAGAGCCGCCGCCTGCTCCACGAACCCCGGCAGGTGAGTCTGGGGGGGAAACACAGGCTCAGCAAAGGGACAGCTGCCTCCTCTCCTGGGTCCAGCCTCATCTCCAGGCTTCCTCCCTGTCCTGCTCCAACCCTTTCATCAGCCATGAGAGCTGCCTAAGCCACGGGTCCTTTTAGCCTGGCCACGGGGAGCTCGGATCCATGCTTAAGATTTCTGTGGTCAAGGCCGTGAATTTCCTGTAGGCATAATTATTTACCGAACGCCTCCACAGTGCCCGCCAGCCAGCAGGATCAATGAGAGGCGTTGGGTTTCACTGTAATACCCTTTCTTCCGCTCCTGAGGCCACTGCCTTTCCACAGCCTGTTTGTTCTCTGACACTCTGGCATGTTAACCTCATGTCACCTGCACACACCGCTGCAAGCTGCCGCGGGACAACACGGAGGGCCATGAACAGTGCAGACGTGTGCACAGGCTGCCCCCTGCTGAGCCCCAGGAGGGCAGGGCCTCACCTTGGAGCAGCCCGGGGTGAAGGCTCCAGGGACTCCAAACAGCACCCCCTTCTTGCCCTTGAACAGCTCGGCCAAGTCCACCTTGTTCCCAGGCTCCCCTTCAAATACCACCACGGACGGGATGGCGTCTCCCACCTGAGGGAAGGACACAAGTTCAGGGTCAGGGAGTGGGGGGCAAGCAGGGGGCGGTCAAGGGGAGGACGGAGGCCTGGGAGCCAGGACAGGCGAGGCCAGGGCTGACTCAGGACAGGATGTCTGATCTGCCAGAGCTTCCAGAGGCCCCTCCCAGCGTCCCTCCCTCTCCCCCTGTTACCCCACACCCTCCAGGCTCAGGCTGGCCCCATTCCGCTTTGAGGGCCTGTTGGTAACAACAGGAAAAGGGAGACAACGCCTCCCACGTGTGGCAACTCCTTGCAACACCTCGCAACAAGCTGTCTGGGTTACAGGAAAGAAGTGGGATAACTGGCAGGAGGGGGAGGGTCAGGGGGCTGTATGGGGGGAGGGGCTGAAAAATGGAGAGAGAGGATCCTGGCTGGTCTATGTCCCATCCCAAGATGAGAACAGCAGAAGGCGGGGAAGGTTTAGTTAAGCGGTGTGTTGTTGTTGTTTTTTGGGGGGGCGATTGTGGGGGTAGGTCCCTACATCCAGGAGGTACAGAGTTAAAATAGAAACCTCTGGAAGGGAAAGATCAGTCTACCTGGGAGTGTGCAAGGGTGTCATGGCGGGAGGGAGACGGAGGGAGGGCGGGCGGTTGGGATAGGACGAAGCGGAGGGAGGAGGAGGTCTCAGAGGTTTTTTGGGGGGAAGGGGGTAGTTCTAAGGCGCTGGTTCAGCATATGAGGCTCGCTGGGCTAAAGCGTGGGCATTAGCTGTGGGTGGCGGGATGGGGGAGGCATGGCAGGGCTCTAAGAGACAATGTTTCAGAAGATGGGGAACGGGGGGGGCGGGGGAGGCCCGGTAACAGCCTGATAAAAGCGTGCAGAGGGTACAGCAGGGGGGGTGGGGGGGCTGAAAGGGGACCCTGGCGCAGGGGAGGGTCCAGAGGTGGGGGCGGCCATGGTATTCCACCGCCTGGAAAGGGTTGCGCCAACATCACAGGTGTCGCAGCGAATGCGGAAGAGAAGCCTCGAAAGCCTCGGGAGCAGCCTCGGGAGATGGAGCACGAAACCCTTAAAGCTGGCGAGAAAGGTGGGTTTGTTGAGAGGACGGGGACAGACGCGCGGGAGCCTCTAGGGCGGCGGAGAGCGGTCCCGGCAGGAAAAGAGGGGCCGGAGGGTGGGGAGCCGGGGCCGCGGCCTCAGCGGCACGGAGGGCTGGAGAGATGGCGGGAGAGGGAGAGGGGTCAGGCCTGGCCGGACGGGGCCAGCGGTCACCTTGATCGGGGCCATAGCGACAGCGGCGCTTCTGAAACCGCGGGCTCCGCCGAGCGTCCACGCGAGGCCTCCTTCTGAGCGCCCTCCGCCTCCCGCCGCTGCCGCGCAACGGACGGCGACCGCACGGGCAAGTACCGAGCCCGACAGGCGGCCCAGGGTGCACATTCCGGTCGGCCCCACGAGGGGTATTCAGGCCACAACCGCCCCGCGCCGCCCCCGCGCCCGCCCCCGCGCCCGCCCCGGGCGTCCGCAGGGGGCGGGGCCTGGTGGCCGTGCCGCAGCGGAACCTGCAGAAGGCGGGGCCTCAGGCCACCGCGGGGCGGCGCCGCGGAAGCGCAGGCGGGGCGGGCGTGGGGGCGGGGCGGGCGGGCGTGGCTTCGGCGGGCGGGCGGCTTATTTGCATAAGAGGAGGGGCGACGTTACCTAATTAACAGATTGGGGCAGGGTGACTGTTTCTTAACCGGAAGCGAAGGGCAGGAGACGCCGGTTCCGGGCGCCTGCGTGGAGTAAAACACGCTCATTTCGCACTCAACCGAGGCCCCGGCACTGCGACTTCCCTTCGTACAGCCCGCCCTGCACAGGACCTCAGCGAGGGGAGGTCTGGCTCGGGCACAGCCCCCGGGCCTGCCCCGAGACAGCCTCCGCCGGGATGCTCCCGGTAGCCACGCGTGACGCGAGGAAGCCTCGGCAGGACCTGCGCTCCCGCGAGCACCAGAAGTTCCAGCAGCTTCGGCCGCTTCAGCTCCTCCCGGCCCGGCGATAGGATAGAGCGCGGGGCGGCCCCGGAAGTTGATGCACAGAGGGACCCGGAAGTGACGCAGTGGAGTGCCTGCCTCCTTCCGGTTCCGGCCGGAGGGGAAAAGAGAGTTGCGGCGACATGAAGCTGCTCACCCACAATTTGCTGAGCTCGCACGTGCGAGGGGTGGGACCCCGTGGATTCCCGCTGCGTCTCCAGGTACAGCGCAGGGGCCGCTCGGGCGCCTGTTTCCCGGGAAGGAGAGGGAAACCAGGCTCCGATCCCTGCCCAGCCGAACCTTTCCGCCCTGCAGGCTACGGAGGTCCGCGTCATCCCGGTGGAGTTCAACCCGGACTTCGTGGCTCGTATGATACCGAAAGTGGAGTGGGCGGCGCTTTTGGAGGCGGCCGATCACGTGAGGACCCTGCCCCCGCCCGTGGGCACCCAGCCCCTTTGCTCCTGGCCCGGGTTGGGGATGCCCAGGGATAATTTAGGTCTCTTGCCCACAGTTGCGTCTGGCTGAGGTGCCCAAAGGGCCCATTCAGGGGTATGAGCAAGATGAGACGTTTCTGAGGAAGATGCACCACGTGCTGCTGGAGGTGAGCCTGGGCTGCCACTTGCTTCCTGGCTACACAGCCATACCCCGAGGCCGCCAGTGCTCAGGTCTTCCCCACTTCCCCGCAGGTGGAGGTGGTGGAGGGCACCCTGCAGTGCCCAGAGTCTGGACGTGTGTTCCCCATCACCCGCGGAATCCCCAACATGCTGCTGAACGAGGAGGAAACCGAGACGTAATCGCGCCAGGCACTCGTTTTTCATACTGTGACCATGTGTGTGTGTTTATGTATTTCCTGTTGGTTAGTTTTGTCACGTGTATTCCCAGCTCTTGACCCAGTGACACGCCACACAGTGTTCTTGAGCTCGATATATATGTTTTTCTCATTAAAGGTTCAAAACCAAAAGCGGTTTCTCTTTGCAACAAATATACATTAAAATAGAGTCTCTGTACAGCCACAGGCTCTGGGCCCTGGCTTGCCCCATGTCCCTGCGCCTCCCTGGCCAAACCCAAAAATAAATATAGTGTTATTGCTCTGCAGGGCATAGAGGCAGTGCTCTCCCTACCCCCTGAGGAGCCTGGGTGGGAGCTGATGGGGGATCCTGGCCACCCCAGGGGTCCAGGGGCTGGAGCCTGCTTGGAGTTATTGCTTCAAGGGGTGGAGGGGCAGAATGCCCAATGCAAATAATGAGAGGAGCCAAGGGGACAGGGGCTTTTGCTCTCCAAATTCCCCTCTGCTCTGGAGAGGGGGTCGGATTAAGCAGCAGCAAAAGCATCACCCACTGGGAGACTGGCCTCCACTCCCTTCCCTCCCTGAGATCAGGCTTCTGCCCCCCTCCCCTACACATCCCCTGCAGCCTCCTATGGCTTCCACAGCACCCCCTGCACTCTGGGGGCACCTTATGGCTTGCAAGGGGCAGCACTGTGCCCAGAGACTGGGCACACACGTTCCCAGCTTCTAACCCCCGAAGGAGGGGGAGGGGAGGGCATAGGGCCTGCTCCCAGGGACTGATGGTATTGCCTTGGCCCTGCCAGCAGGCTTGGCACTGCCGACCCCAGCTCTGCCCCCTTGGGGCTGGCCCCATGCTGGGCGGGTCCTGCCAGCACCCCCACCCATGCCCACCCCTTGCCTCAGTCCATCATGGCCTCAAGCATCTCCAAGAACAACTTGTGCATGGGCACCTTGCCCTCCAGCTTCACCCCATAGAAATGGGCCAGCACTTTGCCCGCTGTCTGGCGAAGGAGTGGTAGTGTAAGCAGCAGCCTGCCTGCCCGCCGCCTCTCAGCACCCCCTCCGGGGCCCGCCCGGCCTGCTTCATACTCCAGCAGGGCCTCATGGAGAGCTTCTCGCAGCTGCTCCACAGCCTCCGCATCTTCGATGTGCACAGAGTCTGCAAGGAGTGGGGAGAGAGCTTTGACAGGGACCATCTCCGGGGAGGAGAGAGCCCGCATGTGCCTGGGCGCTGAGGGATGGAGCCTACATAGGAGCCGGACACAGACTTGTTGGTTGTCTGAGGCAACACTCACTGCTTGTGCCCATGAGCCAGGGCCCACCCTTTCTCAACTAGGGTGCCCTCTTGTCCTCCCCGCCTCCCCTCCCACTGAGTGGTTCGCCTTTCCAGTGAGCACGGCACTAGGGTTCAAAGTCCCAGGTGCAGTTCCTGGGCCTGCGCTTGCCTTTGTGGCTTGCAGCAAGCGGCTGTTCTTCCCTGCGCCTGTTTCCTTGTCTGCAAAACGGGACTGCGCCACCGTGAGAGCTAGGGAGGGCCTCCTGGAGACTTGTCAGCACCTACCCGGGCTCACCTGAGTTGGCAAGGGCCAGGGCCTTCAGCAGGACGTACTCCTCCCGCTCCAGCCGCAGGGCCTGCAGCCGCCGCACTAGCTGCAGCAGGGCAGCCCCGAGTTCCCCCAGGCCAGCTGCTCGTGCCCCCTCTTCATCCAGGACCAGGTCCTCGGCGAAGGCCAGCTCGTCCTGCAGCGGCAGTGAGCGCTGGGCCACACCCAGCACCAGTACCTCCATCCACACGCTCTGCAGCACTGACATCTGGTCCGACAGTGACAGCGACGAGAAGCCTGGAGGCCACGGGAACACACCGGGCTGAGCAGGCACCGGCGCCAGGCCTGGCTGGCCTACCCGGGGGAGCCCGCGTCACCTGGTCCTTTACCTGGGATGCTCTTGGCCCAGCTGATGGTGACCACAATCTCTCGGTCAAAGAGGTCACAGAGGGTCGCCACGGCCGGGAGGTGTCCGTCAGGGCCCGCTGGGTCGGGCATGGCATACAGCTTCTCGGGCTCGACCACCAGCAGGTGGGACACCAGTGCGTTCACTGGGGCTGCAGTGACAGTTGGGAGAGGCACTGGAATTCATCACCTTGCAGGCCCTTTGGAGCAAACATCTCCTAGAGTCAGTCCCCCGGAGGCCATCCTCCAGCCACTGCTCAGACCCCTGTCTCCAGGAGGGGCGCTGCCTAACTCCCGGGGGAGGGCAGTCTGTGCGAACAGGTTCCGAGTGTTAGCAAACCTCTCCCTGTTCCCAGCTGTACTACTCAGGACAGACCGACAAAGGTCTTTTCACGAATGCTTTTTGGGGAAAACGGATAAGTGAATAGATGAAGGGAAAACGGGTCCCGGTGCCCAAAATAACTCCTGTCCTCAGAGAACCACACCAGACAGGCCTCTGGCGTCCTAGCGCAATCGCAACCCTAGAGCTCCAAGGAGCCACAGACTCACCCGTCTTCCGAGGGCCTCCAGCTACTGCCAGGGGGCCGGCCGGGAAGGGTCCTGGGAAGGGCAGGGGGTCCACCTCTGGTCGCCGCTTGTACTTCTGCCGCCCACCCCGGACGCGGTCCAGACGTACCCCTTGAAGTGCAGGACAGGGCTGTGTCCTAGAGGCTGGGGGCGGCTTGCTCTCCATAGCCCTCCTGCCCGATCCATTCCACCACCTCGTCTCAGGCTTTAACCCCCTCCAGCCCCAGGCGCCCAGCCCCCCAGCCCTTGCCAAGGCTCCTGCCCAGTACTCACCCTCTTTGAGCATGCCCACCCGCAGGCACTTGGTGAAGCGACAGGCCTGGCAGGCCTTGCGTCTCCGCTTGGTGATCTCGCACTCATTGGACGCCGGACAGCTGTACTCGATGCTCCCTGCCAGGAAGAGGCAGGGCTCCAGTGGCGGCCTCCCAGGGCCCAGAGGCCCAGCAGACAGGACAGCCCTGACTCCCCGGGCAGGCACGGGTCTGGGGAGAGCAGGAGTGCTGTGAGTGGGGCGGGGAAGCCGGGGGCAGTGAGGGGAATGGCTGCTGGGCTGGGGGCCCCTGTCCGGGCAAAAGGGCTGAGACCAGGGGAGTCAGGCTGCATATGCCTCTTGTCAAGCCACGTCTCTGGTCTCCTGCCCTCGTCTGCTCTCTTCCAGGGTCACATGGCCTCTCCCTCTACTGCGCACTTCTCATCTTCACCTTCCATGGCCTCCAGGGTGTCTAACACCGACTCCTAGGAACTCCGAGGCACTTTTCTTTTGCTTTTAGGACACCCTCCTGGTTTCCATGCCACTCACTGGCCCCTTGGTGGGCTCTGTGCGTCCCCTGTGCTCCTTCCATTGGAGAGCCTCAGGGCTGCCCTCAGACCCGTCTCCTCTGACTCATCCCCATGCTGATCGTCCCTAAGTCGTGGGCTTTCAAATCTGTATCTCCTGCCTAGACCTGCCTGGACTACTCATCCCTCTGCCTCCTCCACATCTCGCATGTCTGTCTAGAAGGCCGCACAGATGAAACCGGTTTGGCTCAGTGGATAGAGTGTCGGCCTGTGGACTGAAGGGTCCCAGGTTTGATTCCGGTCAAGGGCATGTTGCTTGGTTGCAGGCACATCCCCAGTGGGGGGTGTGCAGGAGGCAGCTGATCTATGTTTCTCTCTCACAATGTTTCTAACTCTCTCTCCCTCTCTTCCTCTCTGTAAAAAATCAATAAAATATATTTAAAAAATAGATTTGTAGAAGACTGCACAAAGCTAACCCGTCCGAAAGGCAGCCCATGATGCACCCCTCCAAAACCGCAACTCCACCCATCAGCTGCTCACGCAGACACGCAGGCGGCATCTCTCATTCTGTCTCCGCCCCAAATCCAACCCGTCAGCTGATCCTGGGGGGCTCTGCCTCCCAATATGGCCTCCTGCTCTGCCCTTGCCTGAGGCACCTGATTAAACCTACTTTAGGTCCTGCCCCTCCCATGCTCCATCCCGCCAGTGACTCCCCTTCTCAGAGTAAAAGCCCAGTGAGGTCTGCACCCCTGCTCTCAGCCCTCTGATCGCTTCCTCCTTGTGCTCTGCTCTGGCTCCAGGCCCCTAACTCAGGCCACAGCTCCCTTTCCATCAGGCTCTCCTGTGGTCACCTCAGGGGGCCTTCCCTGGCCACCCTGCCAGGGGAGGGGGGATGAGGATGCCACACGGCCCTCTGTGGGGAGTTTCTCATCAGCTCTCCGCACCATCAGATATGCCACCTGTGTCCATATCTATCTTCGTTATCATCTGTCTCCGGACTTTAGCATGGGCTCCAGGGGGGCATGGCACTTGGTGGGCGCTCCTAGCTGGCGCATGACCCAGCCTGGCAGGACTGCTTCAGGGCCTGAATGACACACCAGCCAACATGCCCTTCACACGTTCCTCCTACACCCTACCCACACCTCCGCTCTCAGCTCAAGACACCCCCTCCAGGAAGCCCTCAGAGCTCCGGACCCAGCCAGGTTCCTCGGTCCTCGCCCTGCTGCTCGCTCCCAGCCCTTACACAGCTGTGCTGTAACAGCCGTGCGCGAGGCAGCATTTCCTCTCCCTCTGCTAGGAGGAGGAGTGTCTGAGGACCCGCCGTCCCGCCTTAGCCCCCGTGTCTGGAACAGTGACCAGGGCGGCAAAGCACAGGTCTGTCGAGCTCTGGCGGCTGCCTTGGGGCCTATCCTGGCACTTTCATTCACCAACTGTGTGACCTTGAACCAGTCCCACAAGCCCGCGAACCCTCAGTTTTCTCATTTGTAAAACTGGGTGGTAGAAACAGCACTTCTTATGAAGGTGAGTTGTGAGGAGGGGGTAATTGAGGTCCCACGTGCAGCATGGTTCCTAACACCTAGATATCAGTAGGTGGTTACTTATGGCTAGTGCTCAATAAATATTTGTCCACTGAGTCAGCAGCAAAGGAAGGGTCCCAGGGTGTCAGGAGACACCTGGATCTGAACCTGTTGGCTCCTGGGCTCCAGAGACAGAGGGGGCACTGAGGTTTTACACCCATGGGTGTTGGCAACGGCAAAGTCAAAATGGCTCATGTGTCACAATCATTCGTGAGGCACCTGTCCAAGGTTCAGTTATTAGTAATAAGCAGAGGCAGCAGTCTGGCATGTAAGAGCTCGACTCTGGACCTGAATTGACCCAAGTTCAAATCCTAGTTCTGCCATTTTCTACCTTTAGGACTTGGACAATCTAAAATAATCTAAAACCCTCACTGGGCCTCAGTTATAATATTGGTGGCACCTTGCAGGTTGCTGTGGGGGTACCAGGTCATGAATGTACTCAGGAAACGTTCTCAGAAATTATACATGTTCCAGCCCCAAAGCAACCAGAGCTTTACATGAAAGCATAAGGAACAGGCACATCCCGAGTGCTGCTTATGACACCACCGCCTCGCTCCTATTTTGATATGCTTTCCTGAGCGAGAGAAGCCCCCTGAGTGCTATCAGCAGGGGGCCTACCAGTCTTTTTAAAGTTAGGTTCTGACATAGGATGTAGCCCCTCTCAGCCATAAAAACCTGTGCTGACGCTATTTTGGGGGAGGCAGTGGGAGTGTTTTACGCTAGCGAGAAGCCAGGAGCTGCCAGGAGCAAGAACAAAGCTGAGGAGCAGGCAGAGGCTGTCTCGAGCTGTTCAGACGGTGCCGGGCCTGTCACACCCAGGAAGACATCCCGAGTGCTCGCACATCCCACATCCAATCTACCAACACATCCTGCTGGCTGTTTCACTTTTAAGGGGAAGAGCATTCCTCGGAGGTAAGAGAGCTGCGAGGACCGGACTGCCAACCCCAAGTGGTGGTCTGGGGGGGGGGGGGGGGTCTAGTGCCACTCAGCGGTGCACCGATTGGGTGGTGCCAGGCCCCGCGGGCAAAGGGCACAGAGGTGGGGATAGGGGCTCACCCTGGATGGTCCTCTTGAAGAAAGCTTTGCAGGCCTCGCAGGATGCCACACCATAGTGGTAGCCCGAGGCCACGTCTCCACAGACCAGGCACAGGCGTTTAGGCAGGGAGCTGAGCACCAGCTTCCCGCCGCCCTGCTCGCCGGGCCCAGCCCCCTCCCCATCCTCCTCTTCCTTGTGGCCTGGCAGGTGGCGCGTGGGAGCTGGGCCAGGGGCCAGGGCCACCGGGGGCTCGGGCTCGGTCTCCGAGGAACCCTTTGGGCTGTCGGGGCTGGCTGGCTCTGCCTTGATGTAGAGAGGCTCAATGCCCACCACCTGGCTGGACATGGCGCTGGTCACCTGCGGGGAGAAGCCTGTCAGGGCGCAGGGAGGTGCTGGGTGGGGGGTGGAGACACCCTGCCACCCTGGTTGCCCAACCCCAGGCCTGGGGCCAGGCTGCCAGTATCAGTGAGGGGGAAGGAGGAGGTACAGAGTCCAAGGAAGGGCTGCCCATGGAAAGCCCCCCCCCTCCCTTGTTGCCATGGGAATAGTCTCCAGAGCCTCCAGGGCCAGTAACTGACAGCAAGTTGGTCCCATTTAGGAACCTGCAAGAGACTTAGAAACCCCTTACTCCTGCCCAGGCCAGGGAGCAGGGTAACCTTGGCCCCAGGCGACCTTCAGCTCCATCCGGAATCCTCAACTAGAAATGGGATACCCTCTCAAATTTCTCCAGACAGGGACCTCCCTCTCCCTCTCCCCAGTGTATCCCCAAGAGCACAGAGGCGGGGGAGGGGGGTACACAAGCCCAGGGCAGGTGGATGTGCTCACAGGCGTGTGTTCACACCCTCACCCACTCTCACTCACCCGGGCGGACAGCCGTCCTCACCTGCCCATTCAGCATGGCCCTTCCCCAGCCCCGTTCCCATTCACGCTCACTCCTTCCTCCCAAGTGCATGGCTCATCAGCAAAATCATAACCACACACTCACCCTGACACGCTCACTCCCACGCCCTCCTGGCCCCCGCACTCGCAGGCACAGCCCCTCGTGGGAACACATCCAGATCTTTCACACCTGACACTGCCCCCTCCTGTCCCAGCAAGCCCACTCCAAGGCGCACCAACGGGCAGGCTCCGCCTCCTTGCACATCCCCCCACACCCCACCCGCCGGCACGTCCACTCGTCCACTCCGCTGCCGCTGCCGCAGAGCCCTCCTCCTGGGGCGCCCCGCCCCCCACCCCTGCACACCTATGGGAAGTTGCCTAAAGTTGCAGCGTTCCCCTCCCCTCCCCCTCCGCCCGCTGCCCGCCGGGCCCTCGATCAGGTTATCAGGAAGTAAGTGGGCAGTGCCAGGGAGGAGGAAGTTCTCCCCGGCCTGTGCGATGACCTTTGACCCAGAGAGGAGGGTGGCCCACGGCCCCTACGAGCGCCCCCACGTGGTCTTCAGAGCCCCTTCCCCGACAGGGAGCCCTCCCCATCTTCCGCCCGGCCCGCCCCTGGGACTTGGGCACGCTCCGGGCCGCACTGAGCCCTGCCCGGGACGGGACCCGAGGCCCCAGCCCGCCCTGGCTGAGGGCTGGAGCCGGAGCCCAGCCGGCCCTGCCCCAGGCAGCACCCCGAGCCTGGACGGCAGGTCCCGCCCGGACCCCGGGCTCGGCTGGCTCTCCACCGGGTCCCAGCCCAGACCCGGGCCGGACCCCGCCCGGAGCCCGCCCCCCGCCCGCCTCCCTATGAAATCGCCTCCCGCCTCGCACATGGCCCCCGCCCCCTCCCGCCCACCTCCCCAGCGCTGGCCCCTCCGCCCGGACCTGGGGCTCCGGCTGGGCGGCCGGGCGGGCATGGGGGCCGAGCGGGCCGGAGCGCCGGGTGAGCCGGGGGCCGCGGGCGCCTCCTCCGCCGCCTCCGCGGGCCGCGCCGCCCCGCCGCGCCGCGTCCCCTCACTCGGCGGCGCCGCCGGCGGCTTGTAGGACACAAAAGGACATCGCGGCCGCTTCCTACTCCGCTCCTCCAGCTGACAGCGGGGGCGGGGCCGCCATGCAAAACAGGGGGCGGGGCCGGCGCCCTATGCTAATCAGACCGGGGGAGGCGGCGCCGGCGCCGGGCGAGTCCGGCAGCGCCGGCGGAGCCAGCGGGCGGCTCCCGCGGACGCCCCGCCCCGTGGCCGCCAGCCACGGCGGCGCACTCGCGTCCGGGCCCCGCGGGGGGCGTGACCGGGGACGACGCGAAGTGGCTCGGGACGGGGGCGGGGCAAGAACGCCTTCACGAAACGAGACGGAGGAGGCGGGGCGCGCCGTGCGCGAGAGGAGTGGGCGACGGCGCCCCGAGAGACCACGGCGCATGTAAATGAGGCCCGACTAGCGGAGCGGCCATATCTGCATATGCATGAGGGGCGGGGCCAGCGTGCCCGGGAAGGCGAGTGCTTTCCCTTTTTCCATTCCCCCCCCAACCAGGGAACACCGTCGGGGCCCCTGGACCAAAGGCCCGGGACCCCCTCAAACCTGCGGAATCCGGGGTGAGAAAAGCAGATCGACCACATGCAAGAAGTCCTGGATGCCGAGTCCCGGGGAAGGCGGAGCTGGTATGGCCCCAACGGAGAACGCGCTCAAGGTCACTGCGGTGACCGAGTGAAGGTCACGGGAAAGGCGGGGCCACGTGCGTCCGCCTCACGCAGACAGCCACGCACTGACTCACAGACCTCGCACAGGGTCTATTTTATTTCTCTAGGGTTCAAATTCCACACGGAGAGGGCCGGGTTTGGGTCCCCGGGCGGGGCGCGGGCAGGGCTGGAACTGGGGGCCACGCTCAGTGCGCGGAGACGTGCAGCCTCCGGTTCCGCCGCTTCCGGAGACCCTCGATGTACCGCTGCAGCTGCTTGGTCAGGAAGTGGTCCCTGCCGATCTCCGACTGGTAGGCTGGAGGAGGGAGCTCCGCTCAGGGCAGTCACAGGGGCCTCACCCGCAGCAGGTGCCACGAGGGCGATGGGAGGAAGGGAGGACCGGTGATTTGGTGGACTGGAGCTCTAAGGGAACTTTGGATCTCCAAGGTGCCGGGCCCTGTCGGTTTTGTTTCAAGTCCTGCGCCCCAAACAGATTGGGGGCCGGGGGTGCGAAGCGGGACTGGATATGGAGGTGGAGGATGAATGGGAGCAAGATGAAAGAAAATGTTGCGGGCCTGATCTTGGACAGCGGAAGCTTTTTGGACACCTTCTGGGGCACTCAGCATTTGCCATTAGCCAGCCCCTACCCCTCACATCACAACCAGGGCAAACCAGTGAAGGTTTACCCCAAATAACCTACTGTCCAGAGGCTCCTCACATTACCCGGGGGAGGGCCAAGGCCACCAGAGGCTGTCATCGCCCTGGGCGGTCGGAGAAATCGCCTTAGAAAAGCCGCCAGCTGGAGGGGGCCTGCGCTGAAACGAGCCCAGCCCCTAACCTTTGCCCATGGTTTCCCCATCGGTCTCCCTTGTCCTGTCCCCCAACTCTACTTTCTGTGGGGCTCTTATGATATTTGTGAGTAGTAAGAGAATCTGACAGGGCAGTCACATCCCGAAATCCCACTGCCAGGGACTCAAACCCTGCAAAATCCCCCAAGGTCTCATGGGAGCTTGGGCTGGGGCGGGGGCCGGGGGCGGGAGGACTCACTCCGGAGGGCTTTGGTGAGGATTTCCAGGACTTCATTCTCCATGAGTTCCAGCAGGGGCAGCGGCATCTGAAGGGGCAGCAAGAGGCTCCATGCCCAAGGGACCCCAGCTCTGCCCACAGCTGAAATGCCCCACCTGCTGCCTGCAGCCCAAGATGCCCAACCAATCTGTCTGCCCCCCACCCTACAGACCACCCGCTGCCTTCATCCCTCACCCCTCACCCCCCACCCCACCAAAACCCCCAGTCTCCCTGGGTGCCTCCCACCCTGTTCTGCTGCTCCCTCCAGTAGGCTCGGTGGTGTGTGTGCTTCATGATGTTGACTGATGACACGGAGGCATCGAAATCTGGGAGGAGAGAAGAGAGGCCGCAGTCACCGACAGGCCGCTGGGTCTTTCTGGGACGGAGGAGATGTGCAGGCTGACACCCGGCATGGACAGTGGTCCTCCGAGAGCAGCTCCCGGTGCCACCTCAGCAGGAAGCAGCGTGGGGACAGTGGTTTCCAGCCCTGGGCTTCATTCTCTCTCCCACCAAGGTCCTGGTTCTGACGGCCCCACTGTGTGACACTTCAAGCCAGTGACCAAAGCTTTCTGACCTGCAGGGTCTTCATCTGTAAAATGGGGCAATAAAAACAACCCCTGGCCCTGGCTGGGTAGTACATTGGTTAGAGCATCATCCCAATACACCAAGGTTGAGGGTTCAATCCCTGGGCAGCGCACATACAAGAATCAACCAATGAAACAGTAAGTCAGTCTCTCTCTCTCTCTCTCTCTCTCTCTCTCTCTCTCTCTCTCATCAATATTTTCCCCCCCAAATGAATAATTAAAAAGAAAAAAATAGCCTGGCCATTGTGGCTCAGTGGTTGAGTGTCGACCCATGAACTACCACATGACCAGGCTGTGGCCTCAATGCCCAGGAGGGGGCATGCAGGAAGTAGCCAATCATCATTGGTGTTTCCATCCCACTCTCCCTCTCTCTCCTCTCTGAAGTCAATAAAAACATATTTTAAAAAGAAGGAAGATAAAAAGAATAACCCCTTATGGGGATGATGAAGTTTAAAGGCGGTCATACAAGGGCAGCCCAGTGCCTGGCACACTAGCTCAACGGACAAAGCGTCAGCCTGAGGACTGAAGGATCCCAGATTTGATTCCTGTCTCGGTTGTGGACACATCCCCAGTTGGGGGTGTACAGGAGGCAGCTGATAGATGTTTCTAATTCTCTATCCCTCTCCCTTCCTCTCTGTAAAAATCAATAAAATACATTTTTAAAAAATAATTAGCTGTCATTATATTGCTATCAGTTCCAATTATCTGATGAAGTGCTGGGGGAGGGGGAGAAGGGAAAGGAAAATACCCAAAAGTGACCAGCATGAAGTAGGCGCTTAAAAAGAATTACCAATGCCCTAACCGTTTGGCTCAGTGGATAGAGCATGGGCCTGCGGATTCAAGGGTCCCAGGTTCGATTCCAGTCAAGGGCATGTACCTTGGTTGCAGGCATATCCCCATTACAGGGTGTGCAGGAGGCAGCTGATTGATGTTTCTCTCTCATTGATGTTTCTGACTTTCTCCCTCTCCCTCTCTGTAAAAAATAAAAAAGCAATAAAATTTTTTTTTTAAATCATCACCAGTGACTGAATAAGTAACAGGAAGGCACCTCCTCAACCCTCGAAAACCCACCGACAAGAAATTAACTCCTTCCTCTCAACCCTCCTGGTGATCCCATTAAAAGCACGGTCTGGGCCTGATGACCAGGCCTGGGAGCATTTTCCTGCGTGCCTCTGGGGACCTTGCCTGGTGCCTGCCCAGTAGGGGGCGCTCCAAGAATGTCTGGTTTATTAGCGCAGGCTAACTCTAGAAACTTGGATCCTACAGCTTCCCATGATTTACACCCAACAGAAACGGAGGCCTTGGCGGGCCAGCCCCCTGCCCAGTGGGCACCCACAGCCGCGGAAGCCACACTCACCCATCTTGCTCCCGAAATCCTCAAGTCCCTCTACATCGCCTCTCTGGGGGCTCCGCTCCAGCTCCTCGGAGGTGTAGGCATCCAGTTCCTCCTGCCTGGTGCCAGCCTCGGCAGTCCTCTCGCTCCATCCCTCCCAGGCGCCCCCATCGCTTGAGGGCTGCTTGTACCACTGGCCAGCCTTCCAGTCTTCGCTGCTGTCCTCCGGGTCCAGGTCCTCATAGACATCTGTCAGCTGGATGTTCAGCCGGGGCTGCGACAGCGTGGCCCTGGTCCACAGGTTCCGGATGTCACCCTTGGAGCCGGACTTGCTCGAGTCATGGGGGCTCAGAGACTTGGCCATCGCCTGTGGACCACAGACACCCAGGAGAGCTCAGCACGCCTGTCAGCATGGCTGTCATCAACAAATCGACAGGCGGCGAGGGCCGGCATGCTGGCGAGGACGTGGGGAGGGGGAGCCCTCGTGCCCTGGTGGTGGGAATGCAGATTGGTGAGGCCACTGTGGGAAGCATTCTGGAATTACTTCAAAAAGTGAGAAACGCGCCCTCACGGGATGGCTCAGTGGATAGAGTGTTGGCCTGCGGACTTGGGGGGGGGGGTCCCCAGGTTCGATTCCAGTCAAAGGCATGTGCGTTGGTTGCAGGCACATCCCCAATGGGCGGTGTGCGGGAGGCAGCTGCTCAATGTTTCTAACTCTCTATCCCTCTCCCTTCCTCTCTGTAAGAAAACCAGTAAAATATTAAAAAAAAAAAATGAGAAATGGAACTACCTTATGACCCAGCAATTCCACTTATTGGATAATATCCAAATAAACCCAAGAGCTAATTGGGAAGAAGATATGCGCCTCTATGCTCATTGCACGGTTATTTACAATAGCCAAGGTTTGGAAGTAGCACGTATGGAGTGGGGGAGCTGTGGTACATGTACACAATGGAATACTACTTGGCCATTAAAAAGGTGGGGGAGCCGAAACCGGTGTGGCTCAATGGATAGAGCACCCGCCTGTGGACTGAAAGGTCCCGGGTTCGATTCCGGTCAAGGGCATGTACCTTGGTTGTGGGCACGTCCCCAGTAGGGAGTGTGCAAGAGGCAGCTGATCGATGATTCTCTCTCATCGATGTTTCTAACTCTATCCCTCTCTCTTCCTCTCTATAAAAATCAATAAAATATATATATTTTTTAAAAAAGGTGGGGGAATCTTACCCTTAGCGACAGCATGGATGGACCTGGAGAGCATTATGCTAAGTGAAATAAGCCAGTCAGAGAAAGACAAGCACCATATGATTTCACGCATATGTGGAATCTAATCAAATACACTAACAAAATAATAACAGGTTCATAGATAGAGAACAGACTGACAACTCTGGGGAGAGAGTTCAAGGCTGGGTGAAAAGGTGAAGAATTAAGCAAAAACAACAACAAAACTCATAGAACAGTCTGGTGATTGGGAGGGGACAGGGGAGGGGGAAGGAGAGGGGGGCGGTAAGATAGGGTATAGGAGGGACAAATGGTGACAGGAGACTTAATAAAAGTATGTAGATTTCAGGCGTACAGATTATGTATTATAAAAGTGTACACCTGAAACCTATATATTTTCATTAACCAATATCACCCCAATAAGATCAATTAAAAGAAACAAAAACAAGGAAAGCCAGGCGGCTGGGAGTTGAGAGGTGTCACCCAGGGCGCAGAGGGGAGCGGGAGGGAGGAAGAGGCGGGCAGCCACTGGGGCCGGTGGGCGCTGGGGGCGGAGGCGGGAGCACCGCAGGCCGCGGTGGATGAGTCGGGGCTGGCAGGATGCGGCCCAGGGAGAGTTCTTACTTTGAAAGGCTTTTCCTCCATGGCTCTGCCCAACGGACACCCGTCGCCACGGGCCTCGCGGGCGGCAAAGGGGTCGCGCGCCGGGGAAGGGGGCGGGCCGTTCTGGAGAGGACGGGGCCTCGAGCAGCCTCCACCGGACACACATGCCCCCACTGCGGGCCCACATGCCCCCCCTCCGGACACACATGTCCCCCGCCCCCGCCCGCCCGCCCGGCGGGTGCGGGAGGCCGGCGGCCTGGCTCCCAGGGGGCCCCGCCCCGCACTCGCCCCCACTCGCGCCCTCGGAGCGCACGCGCAGCGGTAAAGTTCCCTTTATTGGGGCCTGAGGCCCAGCGGGGTGCGGGCCGGTCCCGGACAGGAGCGGGCCCCACGGGGCAGGAGGTGACGGAGCGAGGGGGGCCGGGCGCGCAGGGTTCTCTGGCCCGAGCGGAGCCCGCGGGCAGAGCCGGGCGCCGTGCCGCCTACACCGGCGCGCCCTGGTGGCGGGGGCGCCGGGGGCCGCGGGGCCGGGCGGGCCTCCTGGCGGGGCGCGGGGCGCGGCGGCGGCCCCGGGGCGCGCGGGCCACCCCGCCGCGCTCGCTCTGCGTGTCGGAGGAGTCGTCGATGAAGGCCAGGCCCTCGCCGGGGTAGTCCAGCGCCGAGGCCGGGGGCGCGGGGGCGGAGGGCGGGGAGGCGAGGGGCGGGGCGGCCTTCTCCGGGGGTGCGGGGGGCGCGGGGGGCGCGGGGGGCGCGGGCGGCGGCCGCTCCTTCTCCGGCGACGGCGGGATGGCGGGCCCGCCTCGCTGGGTCACCCGCGCCGTCACGGTGCCGGTCCAGCTGGCGGCTTGGGCCGTGAAGCCGCCCATCTGCGGGGCGGGGGGGGACGCAGTCCTCAACCTGGGGTCTCCCCCGCGGCACCCCAGCCCCGCTCCCCGGAGCCTGCCCTTCGCCAGCCGGGCGCCGCTCCTCTGCCCGGGCCTCCTGCCCCAGCCCGGCCCGCCGCACCCTCTCGCCTCCTTCACCGCACCGAGGCCCCCTAGAACGAGGCTTTTCTAGAATCCCCGGTTATCCCCGCTCCCCGTCCCGGCCCCAGAGATCCCCCAGCTCCCCGGCCCGTTGGGAGGAGCGGGGTGACAGACTCAGAGGGTATGGAGCCTGGAGAGTGTCAGACTGTCTGTGGGTACGTCCGCGCTGGCTGAGCCCCTCACACTGACCTACCTGCTGCCCGTCTGCAGTGCCCGGTGACGCGCCGCCGGGTTTTATTCGGGTAAATCCTCCCCCGGCCCTCAGAACCGAGATGGAGCCCCCCAGCCCTGTCCGAGCTTCCCCGGCCCCGCTGGTGCCCATGGGGCGCGCCCGGCCCTGCCCAGAGTCCACCTGCCCGGACACAGCGGCGGGGGCGCCTACCTCGGCCCGCGTGCGGCGGAGCACGGCGCGCAGCCAGTTCCCGATGGTGGTGAGCACCGAGGCGAAGTAGGCCAGGCCCAGCAGGATCCAGAACCACACCAGCGGCTGGTAGGCTGCGTGCGTGTGGCCGGGGTCGGCGCCTGGGACGCGGGGGGGAAGGCAGAGAGGTGGGTGCGGGCCCCTCTCCCCAGCTCAGGAGAGAGAGGATCCCCTCCCGGACAGGGCTCGGGCGGTGTGTGCAGGCATGCCACGTGAGCGCGCATGGCCCGAAGGGGCGCAAGGTAAGAGCGTGGGAGTGGGAGCGCTCACGTGCAAGAGTGGGAGCATGTGTGAGGGGTGCACCCTGACATGTGTGTGAACATGCATGCAGGCATGCAAGAATGAAAGTGTTGCATCCGTGCAACCAGGTGAGGGTGCCTTCCGTGCGCGGACATAGCATTGGGGTCATCCCGTTTGAGGGCACAAGGCCCGCGGAGTTGGGTGGGAGACGGGGGAGGCAGAGCCTGGGCAGGAAAAGGCGGGCAGGAAAGCACAGCTCCAGAAAGGGGGCCTCACCGGCCACATAGTCCCCGAACCCCACGGTGGTGAGCGTCACCACCACGAAGTAGATGGCTTCCAGCTTGCTCCAGCCTTCGGTGTAGCAGAAGGCGAACATGGGGGCGACCACAAACAGCAGGCAGCCGACCAGCAGGAAGAGCACCGCCGACAGGACCCGCACCAGCTCCTTGGGCACGTGCCACTTCTGCGGGGAGGGCACAGGCGGGAGCCGGAGCCCGATCCTCCGCGCTCACGCACACCCCTTCCTCCGGGAGGCCCCGCCTTCCCCGGCCTGGGAGGGAAAGGTGTCCTGAAGAAAAGGCGCCCCGGGCGGGCGGAGCGGCTCACCAGGAAGATGGCTTCAATGTGGCCGATGCCGTGGCGCAGGGCGGAGCCCAGCCGGTCCCCGACCCCTGCCAGCAGGAACCCGAACAGCGGGATGCCCACCAGCGCGTAGACGATGCAGAAGGTGCGGCCGGCGTCTGTGCGCAGGGCTACGTTGCCATAGCCTGGGCGGAGGGGCCGTGCGGGAGATCTAGGGGCTACCTGACCGCCCCCCTCCCCCTGCACCTCCCCCTAGAGAGAGCCCAGCCCCTCCCCCACCGATGGTGGTGATGATGGTGCCGGAGAAAAAGAAGGCGGCGCCCAGGTCCCAGGCCGAGTAGTTGCCTTGACCGGTGGAGTTGATATCAGGGTTTGCGCCCCCGCCCAGGGCATCGGCCACCTCCTGCGGGACAAGGCACAGGGGAGGAGCCTCAGTCCCCACCCCCTGGCCCTCCAGCCCCTCCCAGCTGTCTCCTTCCTGAATGTCTCCCTTTGAACACACATTGCACATGGGGCGACCCAATGCTGTCTGACCTCCACATTGCTTTAGAAACATCTAGCTGCCCCCTAATCTCGCACAACAGATTTTCCACTTCACAGTGATCAAGAGCACAGACTCTGGGACCAGGCTGTCTGGCTTCAAATCTTGGTGCTGCGTGAACATGGCGAAGTCTCCGTGCCTTTGTTTCCGCATCTACCACCCGGGGATGGAGCTAACAGCACCTACCGTCTCACCTGGCGGGGAGTGAGAGCCCTCCCAGCAAAGTAAGCACCGTGTGTCTCATGCAGCGGCCACGCCTGGGACTTCCAGCTTTCCCCAGACACCCCCCCCCCCCATTGCCCCACGGAAGCTGCCTCTGAGTCCCCTACCTTAGAACATGTGATGGAAGTGAGGGACCCTCCCTCCAGGCAGGTGCATCTACCGTCAACATTTCCATCCCGTTTCTGTGGATCTGTGCACACACAAGGCCCTGCCCGCCTGCTGAAGGCCTGTGCTACAGAGCAGGTGCTCAGCAAACACGGTTAAATCACTGCAATGGCCATGTGTCTGTCCCTGTTGCCAGGCAGGGCAGGGCCTGTGTTTTGAGAGGGCCTGCCCTAAGAGACAGAGGTTGGGGCACAATGGGGTGGGGGTGAATGGGGCCCTTCCCCACAGCCCACAGCACACAGAGCCATAACACAAAGGCAGGGAGGGAGAGGGGGATCAGAAACCACCTCTCTCACAGAAACCGGTTTGGCTCAATGGATAGAGCGTCGGCTTGGGGACTGAAAGGTCCCGAGTTCGATTCCGGTCAAGGGCATGTACCTTGGTTGCGGGCACATCCCCAGTAGGGGGTGTGCAAGAGGCAGCTGATCAATGACTCTCTCTCATCGATGTTTCTAACTATCTCTCTCCCTTCCTCTCTGTACAAAATCAATAAAATGTATTAAAAAAGAAAAAAAAAGAAAAAAAAAACTGCTAATCTTAAAAAAAAACCAAACAAAAAAACCCCACCTCTCTCTCTCCCTGTCCTCATTAGCAGGCCCTTTCCAAATGAACGGTCCTGAATGAGGGCCCGCCCCCAGCTCCCAGAACGGAGCCCCCCAACACACACACACACACACACACACCCCACTCAGGCTTCATGCCGCTCTTCAACCTGGTTCCTTCCAACCTCCCTGCCCAGTCTCCTCTCCGGATGAACTCTCCCATTTGGGAACCCACATTAGGTGACCTTAACCCCAGATTTCTGAGATGATCTCATTTCCTGTAATAATAATTTTTTAATAAAGCCAAGAAGTGAAATATATGATTTAAAGTGATTTAATATTTATTTTGCAACACTTTTTCTGGTAAATTCACCACTTAAGGGGGGAAAAAATCCTTTGTCATCCTGTGTGTCCTAATTTTTGTTTCAAATGACTAGGCATCTGCTAAGTCTGAGCTCTACAGCCATTTACCCATTTCTCCCTTCCTCCCAGCCTCCACGCCTCTGCCCGCCCTGCAACCCAGCCACCCATCTCTAAATTCCACCCGCTTGTCTGCTACCAGCTCTTCCCAAAGGCCCTGGCACCCCCCTCCTTGCCCCCAGCACCCAGCCCAGGCCCAGCCTACAGCAGGTGGTTAGCAAAGCAGGAAGTGGGGAAAGTGGCGTTCCCACCCAATTCTGTAGTGACCTGTCCACGGAGCTGTCCCCTCGCCCAGATGTGGCATCCTCTAGGCCAGTGGTCGGCAAGCTCATTAGTCCACAGAGCCAAACATCAACAGTACGAGAGCCACATTTTTTAAACTTAAACTTCTTCTGACGCCAATTCTTCAAAACAGACTCGCCCAGGCCGTGGTGTTTTGTGCAAGAGCCACACTCAAGGGGCCAAAGAACCGCCTGTGGCTCGCGAGCCGCAGTTTGCCAACCACGACTCTAGGACACAGCTCGCATCTGTCCCGCCCCAACGCCCATCCCCTGCTGCCTCCATGGTGCCGGGCACAGCACCTTGTTCCCAGCGGCATGACTGCTGCCTGGCTAATTGTGGAGAGAAACAGAGCAGCTGCTGCCCATCCTTCTCATCTCTGCCTTCCTTTACTTCTTTTTTATTCGGGAAAAAGTAACTCCGTTGTGAAGATAAAATAGGTCAGGTTCCCTCCCTCCCTCTGCCCTGTGGTCTGGTCAGACTCTCCCTCCTGCCCAGGCCTCTCTGAGCCTCTCTCTCTCTCTCTCTCTCTCTCTCTCTCTCTCTCTCTCTCCCCCCCCCCCAGGGGCGGCCTGACCTTGTCTCTGCTGCACCCTCCTAGATGCCCCATCCTCATCTCTGCTCTGGTCCTGCCACAATGGGAATCGCAGGAACACAGGGGCCTCCACGCTGATGGCTCCTCCCTCCGGAAGAGCAGGCGGGGGAAGAGGAGTGATCTGTCCTAAAGTAATAAACACCATTTATCAAAGCTAAACCTTAGTGTTTAATATGACAGCGACTCAGGAGTGAGAGAAAGCCATAGAGGTGAGGCTGACCGTCTCCCGGAAAACAAGCTCACCCTTTAGTCCCTGGCCGGGTCCCTGGCTGCCTCCCCTCCAGCCTCTAAGCATAAGCAGGTGTCCTGGGTGAAGGGGCGCTAACCGCATTCACGATGCACACACAGGCGGAGGCGGCCGGAAGCCTCCGGAACCAACTGCGCTGTTTGTAGGTGCGCTTCTGGGGGAGGGTGCGCAGTGTTCCTGGGCTCCCCGGAGGTGTCTGTGGCCCCGAGGCAGCATGGGAGCCCGGGTGGGGATGCCAGAGTTAGCAAATAAAAATACTGCCAGGGGCACGGTCACATTTAAAATCCATTCCTTGTTTGGCTGGAATTCACATGTAATGGGGTGCCCTGACTTTTATCTGGTAACCCTAACCCAGTGGTCGGCAAACTCATCCGTCCACAGAGCCAAATATCAACCGGACAACGATGGAAATTTCTTTGGAGAGCCACATTTTTTAATCTTAAACTTCTTCTAATGCCACTTCTTCAACATAGACTCGCCCAGGCCGTGGTATTTTGTGGAAGAGCCACACTCAAGGGGCCAAAGAGCCGCGTGTGGCTCCCGAGCCGCAGTTTGCCGACCACTGCCCTAATCCATGTGACAAGGTAACCTATCTCATTGCTATAGCCATTTGCTCATTTCTTCTTTCCTTTCTTCCTTCCTTCCTTCCTTCCTTCCTCCTCCCTCCCTCCCTCCCTCCCTCCCTCCCTCCCTCCCTCCCTCCCTCCCTTCCTTCCTTCCTTCCTTCCTTCCTTCCTTCCTTCCTTCCTTCCTTCCTACCTTTCTTGTCTCCACCCTGAAGGAGACCATCCAGGCACTCTCCAAAGCCAGGCACAGCGAGGAGAGCACGCTCCCCACACATCACATTGAAAACAGAGACGTGCCCCCAGCCTCTGCTCAGCCCTCAGGGGGCCAGCCTGGAAGCAGCACCCGAGCTCACGGCCCCACAGGCGTGCACTGGGGCCAGGGGTCCCGGGGGAGCTGCCAGGGGCCCTGCCACCCACGCACCTTGATGAGGAGCCCCAGGTCCCCGTCGCTCACGCACGGGTGGGTCCGCAGGAACTTCTCCCGGACCTCCCCCAGCTCCCGCTGGGCCTGCTGCTCCAGCGGCTGCTCCAGCGCCCGGAACACCAGCGCGCCCAGCACCAGGTAGAGCAGGACCAGCGCCAGCAGGGCCAGGAGCGTGGTGCTGCGCATGGCGGGCCCCGGGCCCGGCGGCTCCGGGAGGGCTGTGGTCACTGCGGGCAGAACCGGGATCTCCGATCAGTCACCTGCCGGGCAGCCTCCTCCAGCCCCTGCCCACGGGGAGTCACTGAGCCTCCGGCTCCGCTGCCCTCGGAGGCCCTCGCCCCCGGCCCTCCGGCTGGGCGCTTGGTACCAGGACACACCCAGCCTCCCTGCTGTGGTCCCCCCTCACCTCCACTCCCGCCCTCAGGCCCTCAGCCCCTGGGGGGGGGCCCTCTGGGTGCCAGAAGAGAAGAGGGACCCGAAGGGAAGAGGAGGGAGGAGAGTGAAGAGGAAGAGCCGGAGCCTGCTGGGGGAGAGGCAGGGGAGCGGGAAACGCCAGCGGGTGGGGGTGCGGGGGGTGGGGGGCTGGGAGGACGGCGTGGGAACGGCCTCCGCGAGGGCGGCGCGGGCAGGAGAAGGGGAGGAAAGCCGGCGCACTGGGCGGGGACCAGGATGCCGTCAGGCTCGCCTGCTGCCACCGCAGCATCTCCCTCTCTTGGCTGGGCTGGGCGGGGATCCCCCAGGCGCTGCCCCCTCCCCCGCCCGGCCTCCAGGGCCCCCCCGAGCCCCGCCCGGCTTTCGAGGAACCAGGGTGGGTCGGTCCCGGTGCAGGTGCGCGCAGGGGTGGGCCGGGGCGGGAAGGAGCGGGGCGGGGCGGGGGCCGCACACGGACCGGGCCGCCTACCGGGCCTGGCAGCCCCTGGCCGCGGGCGGGCGCCCACGCACACGCGCCGCACAAGCTGGTGCCCACGCCCCGCCCGCAGCCCGCCGCCGCCTGCGCTCGCCCCGGCCACACCGCCCCGGGCCGGAGGGAGGCCGTCACACGTGTGCCCGCACCTGCGGGAGCCTCTCGGACCCCGGCCCCGCGCAGCGCCGGCCGCCACCCCGCACGCCGCACCGCGCCCACACCTCGGAGCGCGGCGGGCGCCGCACGATTCCCGGGGCGCCCACGCGGGAAAGAGAGGGGGCCCCACCCAGCGACGCCCCTCCGCCCCGAGTGCCCCCGCCTCGCACTCCCTGCCGCCCCTCCGCCCGCACTCACTGCCGCCCCGCTGCCACGGAGGCTGCGACCCGCTCCCCGCGGCCTCCCCGGAGCCGGTGCCTCCCCGGAGCCGGTGCCTCCCCGGAGCCGGTGCCTCCCCGGAGCCGGTGCCTCCCCGGTGCGGGCTGGGCCGCGGGGGCAGCGGCAGGGGCGGAGCGGCGGCCGCGGGGCTGGGACCCCCTCCCGCCGCCTGAAGCCCCCTCCTACCGCGTTAACCCCTCCGGTGCCGCCTCCGGGGGCTGAGCCGGCGCCTCTCCCTGGAGACAAGGCACAGGCGCCCGCAGGGATGCCGCTGGGTCCGGACGGAGCACGGAGCCTGGCACCGCCCTGCCCCTGGGGTGGCCAGCACTCCCCTCCTGGAGGGCACCACGCTACTCTCCCCGCTCCCTACAGGGCAGAAGGGCCCTCAGCTCCTCCCTCCCCCCTCCACAGCCTGGCCCCGGCTCCACACTGAGGGAGTGGCCACACTGGGCACCTGTCCCTGCTCCCGTATCCCCATCTTTGGTCCTCTCCCCATGCCAGTCCCAGCTGCTTGAACTGCCAGGGCACTGGCATATCCTGGAGCCTGGTTCCTCTCTGCTCTCACCCGCTTTACAGCCCCCTCCTCTGCAAAGACCCTGCTGGGGTCCTCTGTCCCCCATGGGTGGTGGAAGCCTGGGCGCCAAGGCTGATCCCTGCCAGTAGGGGCCTGACGGCATGCCCAAGCTCTGGGGCCTGCAGGTCCCGCTAGTAAAAAAGGGGAGTTCATCTTCATCTGGGGGTGCTATGCTGAGCACTAAGGAGGGCAGCGTGTGTAAGCCTGGCACACAAATGGCAGCAACTTTCTGTTCAAAGAAAAGTGACTGTGCCCGCCCCAGGGGCCCGAAGGCTGGGGCCCAGGACAGTCCCAAGTGCAGGGCTTCGAGACAGGCTCAGTGGTAGGCGCCAGGACTGGGAAGGCGGGAACAGTCAGGTCTGCGTGCAGGCGACAGACCTTCCCTAAGCACCTCCCAGCGGGGGACTAGCCTGCAGGGCAACGGCAGCAGAAGGCATGGCTGTGCCGTTAGCGGTGGCCAAAGAGGGGCCGGGACTACCAGGTAGACTGTGGGGGGGGCCCAGGCTACCAGCCAACCCACATCTGGCAGGGAAACGGGGGCCAACTCTTCCCCCACAGCCCCGGACCAGCCCCCGACCTGAAGGCCAGGTTGGATGTGATCCAGGGGAGCAGCGTCCCCAGAAATCCCGTCCACTCGGAGATGCAAGACATAATCACAGTGCCGCGGACCCAGCAGGGGACATGGTTCCCGGGCCCAGGGGGGGAGCTTCTAAAAACAAGCGGCACTTGAAGCAGGTGTTAAGGAAGGAGTAGAAATGATTCATGTAGACAGGGGGCTGGAGGGAAAGCATGGCTCCTGGTCTCCCTTCTGCTCAGATCCAGGCTCCTCCCGCACCCTGCCCTCCAGCCTGGGGAGGTAGGCAGCCCCTGCCCGCCCAGCAGCCCCCTCTGAGGGCCCGTGTCTGATCAGCCTCAGCCACGCAGACAAGGTTCGAGGAGCACAGAAAGCGGTCAGCCTGGGGCACAGACACTGTTTATTGAGTGGCAGACACAGGAGAGGTAGCTGGCTCCAGCGCGGAAGCGGAGGCGCAGGTCATGCCAGGGTGCCGTGCGCATCTGGCAGGCAGGGCCGTGCCCCCACCAGCACAGACTCACTACAACGGACGTGGCAGGGAGCTGGCCGGGGAGGAGGTGGCCACAGCCCCTGGGGTCCCGGGCAAGAAGCAGCAGATGAACTTGGCACAGGGGCCTGGGTGGGGGGGTTGGGGTGTGAGTGTTCGGGGCAGGTGGAGGGGATCACGTCTGTGGAGTGGAGTAGAGGCTGTGGTGGTGGCTGCCAGGGTCCAGCACCTGGGAGAAGAGCAGAGGCGTGGTCCGAGTCTGGCTGCCCCCGTACCAGCCTGGCTCCCGCCCGATGGCGCCGTACCAGCTGCCGGAGCCGAGGCTGCCGGACATGCTGCAGACAGAGAAACAGGGTCGGTTACGAGGCAGGGACCGGGGCCGCACGCACAGGAGTTGGGGCGGGAGAGAGGCTTAGAGCAGAGCCCAGGAACCCAGACGTTCCAGGACCCAGCGCTTGGGCACAGCGCACGGTAGCCAACTGCATCCTCGGGGCAAGAGGGGGAAGCCAGAGGGGCCCCCACCAAGTACAGAGGCAAACAAAGGCCACGGCGGGGGCTGGGGCTGGATGCCAAGACCTGGTCCCCATGGCACCACGGAGCGGGCTGGGAGCTCAGGGGCCTGCGGTGGGCGGAGGCTCCTACCTGGTGCTCTCGCCCCGCCTGTGCCCCCAGGAGCAGCTCTCCTCCTCGCAGTGCCCGGCCCGATCGAAGAAGTAGGAACGGGAGCCAAAGACCTGGCCGTTGAGGATGTGGCTGGTGCTCTGGGGGAGGAAGCCGCCATTGATGCTCTCCCAGCCCCCGCTGGCCTCCCACGGCCACCCGGCCCCGGCCCAGTGCCAGCCCTCCGCACCGGCCTCACCAGATCCTGTGACGGCCGGTGCACCCGGAAGAAGCCCACCAGCAGGGTCGTGGGCAGCAGCTCCCACACAAAGAGGATGAGGCCGAACACGAGGTAGCCTTTGTTCCCCAGGTCGTTCACCAGGTCCGCCTGCGGGAGAGCCAGGGCTCAGCCAATCTGCAGCGGTGCCAGGGGGGCACCCGGACAGGGCCCAGGGGCCACGGCTACTGAGGAGGCAGCAGACAGGCCAAACGCCCACCTGATCGGAGACATTGTACCAGTCATAATCGAAGGCGTCCAGCCGGCTCCGGGGAGCCAAGGCCAGGGCCGCCAGGTTGTAGCAGGCCCGACTGGCATAGAGCAGGACCATGGCACCGCCCATGGCAGCCGCCTGGCACACACTGGTCCCCTGAAACAGATGACAACAGGGGACCCTCAGCGAGGGGAGGCTCCGGCTTCCTCTCCGCCCGGAGACCCCCAAAGGACACCAGGCATCAGGGCTGGGACCCTACCTTGGCCTCCAGGTAGATGCTGGTGGAGGGTGCCCGCCGGGCAACAAGGCAGAGGCAGGCGGCAAGAGAGAGCGCGCAGATAACGAACAGGGAGTCGCTCACCAGGACGCGCACCAGCAGGAGGGCCCAGGGCTGCGCCGGGCGCCGGCGGGACAGCACCGCGCACAGCACATTCACCAGCAGGAAGAGCAGCGAGGCCCCCACGAAGGCCCCTCGGACAGCCAGCCTGCAGCCACGGCACAGTCAGCCCCACACTCCGGCCCCGCTCACCGACCACCAGCCGCCCCAGGAGACCTGGCGCCCATCAGACCCTCAGGCCTCAGTCCGCACTGGCTCCTCCAGCTTAACAGACGGGAAACTGAGGCCCAGGGGGTCAGAAGGTGACCGACAGCTGTAGGACAGTGGAAGGAGCACTGGATCGGGTGTCCGAAATCTGGGCTGAAGCCCTGGCTATGCTTCCAGCCACTTCTATGACCTTGAACGTGTGGCTTTATCTTCCTGGGCCTCAGTTTCCTCATCTCTCAAGCAGACAGGAACAGCCTCCCAGGTGAGTGGTAAGAATGACAGATGTCTGTGAAAGCGCTTATTAAGTGGCAAGGTGTGGTACCCAGGACGGGAGCCTCGCCACCCAAGGTCACCCAGAAGCCGTTTGGTTTTGGAGCTTCCAGCTCCTCCTCTGTCCTGGACGACACTGGCACCGTCTCCCGGCTGCTTCTATAACCACTGCCCTTCACCCACGCCACACTTCTGCCCGGCCTCCTGTGCCAGGCGCGTCACCTTCCCCAGCTTTCACAAACATCCCCCGAGGTGTCCTCCCCCCGGCCCTGCCACACGGGAAGGGACAGACACGGGGGGGGCGGGGGGGGCGGGGGAGGACAGACTTACAAGCCTCGGCTCATCTCGGGCCGACGTTTCGCCTTGGCTTTGAACACCACCTGGGAGCAGAGATGCCCATTATTCCTTCGGGCTTGAGGCTCGCCACTCCACAGCCCATCCCCACCCAGTTACCACGGTTACCTGGGCAAAGTAGAGATTCATGAGCGTCAGTGTGAAGAACTGCAGGCAGACGGGGCAGCAGTAGAGAAGCCAAAAGGGCAGGGGCCCCAGGCGGTTGGCCCGGGGGGTGTCTCGGAAGTAGAAGGAGAAGAGGGTGGTGCGCAAAGCAGCCCAGAGCAGACAGAGTGCCAGGAACACCGTCTGGTAGCTGAGGCGCTTGTGTCCGTACAGGAGCACCAGCCAGAGCTGGGCATACACGGAGAAGAAGAGCAGGGCGTACAGGGTGGTGTAGGCCGCAGTCAGCCCCAGGGTCACGGCCGGTGGCAGCGCAGGCACCAGACCAGCAGCAGGCACCAGGCCAGACAGGTTACTCTCCATGTCAGAAAGGGAGGCCTGAATCCTGATGCGGAGATGGAGGGGCTGGCAGGGGGCCAGGGAAACACAAATAAATACGCGGGGGTGGGAGTTGCAGGGCGCAGCGACAGAGGGGGCGTCTGGGGGGAAAGAAGTTGTGGCTGGCCAGGCCCTTCCCTGGACCGAGGGAGGGGCAGTGGCTCTTGCAGCAGCCCTGGCTGCGGGGCACTCTCAGCCCGGGGTCCTGCACTCAGGATGGGGAAGGACAGTCTCTCCTCTCCGGGGCTGAGGGTGGGGGTGGGGAGCGTCGCCTCCGTGGGCCAGACCCAGAGCCGGGAGCTTGGGGTGCAGAGGCTGAAGGAGAAGGGTCCTTGGCCTTTGTCGCTCCCGTCGTCCCGGCAGGAGGGGGAGAGCCGCCGATGCCTGCTGGCTCTGGGCAGCGGCTGCGGCGTGAGGCGCTCAACACCCGGCTCTCCCCCTCCTCCAACTGCGGGCTCTCTCCCCTCCAATGATCCGGACGAGGCGGGGCGGGGGCTCTGCCTTCAGGCCTCGGGATGCCGGGCGCTGGCCCCAACCCACCCCCCCTGCGCCCACTCTCCAGCCGCGGGAGGCGGGGGCAGGCCGGCGCGGGGCTCTCAGTCCACCTCTGGGGGTGCCAGCTCCGGCCGCTGGGACCCGGGCCCTGGCTCCGGGCTCCAGCGGCTCCGCCCCCTCCTGCGCCTGCGCGGGCGCCGTCCGCTACGCAAACTGCGCGGGTCTCACCGCGGCCCCGGCCGCGCCCGGCGCGCAGCCGTCCGAGAACGGGCGCGGGCTACGCCGCCGGCGGTGCCGGGGTTACGCGGGGCGGCGGGCGGCCGAGCGCCGGGTGGGCCGGGCCCGGAGCCGCCGGTTCCCACGGCCCTCTCCCCCCATCCCCAGGCCGAGAGGGCGGCAGCGGCTTCCCCTCGCCCCGTCTCCGAAGGAAACTTCCGCCCACAGCCAAGATGGCCCTCGGGCCCCGCCCTCTGGGACGGAGCCCGCGCCCCCCGCCGCCCCCGGGGGCGCCCGCCCTCCGCCCTCGCGGGGCGCGGCTCCCGCTCACCTGGTCCGCCGCCCGCGGGGCGCAAAGTCCCCCCGAGCCGCGCGGCCACCCGCACGGGGGCCCTATCCCTCCCGCGGCGCCGCGACAGTCATCCTGCCGGGGAGGCGCCCGCTTATCTCCAGGCTCCCCGGACTGACTGACGCGCGGGGAGTGCCCTGAGGCGTGCGGTGCGGGGCGAGGTCCCCCGTGGGGAGGCGGGGCCCGGCCCCCGGAGCGGACCGCGTCGTGACCGTGACCGCAGCGGCGAGGCGCCCGCGCTGGGCTCGATGGGGCTTTGCTAGGTGCTTTCGCCGCCGCGCTCCGCACTCGGCTTACACAGCGCCCGGGCCCCTGCGGGAGGGGTCGTTATCCCCATCTTTCAGGGTCGGGAACTAAGTCCCGGAGGGGCTGAAGGACTTGTCAGCGGAAGCCAGACCCCGGAGGACCCCCCACCCGCTCCCACCCGCGCCCAGGTACACGGAAGTCGGGAGCCGGGGCTCCGGGGACCAGGAAGGGAGGAAAGCGGTGGGCGGGCCGGGGCGTGGGGGCGGGGCCTCCAGTGGCTCCACCCCCTGGCCAGCCCTGGTGACATCGCGATAGCCGATTGGGTCTGGTCGGTGACAGTTCCTGTTACCCAGGCAACTAGAACCGGGCTCCCTCAGGGCTAGAGGGAGGCGCAGGCTCGGGTCCCGGGCCTCGAGATCGGGCTTGGGGTAAGTCCTGCGTGCCGTCTTCACGGCCAGCCGAGACCTCGGTAGGGGTCTGGGGCTCCCCAGCACCAAGGTTCCGGAAGGAGATTTAGGCTCTGGGTGGACGGGCTGGGCTTGCCGGGCCAGACTCAGAGGACAGACTGGGGCCCGGGAGGCAGGGTGGACCTGGGGTTCTGAGGTGGAAGAGGGAACAGGGGTGTCAGCCACCCCCTCCCTCCCGCCCCCACCGGCGACTGTTTCCCCCAGCTGTGCCATAACTACCTGCCTTCTCACCCCTACAGCCCAGAGCATGTTCCAGATCCCAGAGTTTGAGCAGAGTGAGCAGGAAGACTCCAGCCCTGCAGATAGGGGCCTGGGCCCCACAGGGGACCAGCCCCCAGGCCTCAACAAGCACTGGACTACAGTCCCAGGTCTCCTGGGGGAAGCTGGTCACCAGCAGGGCCAGCCGGCCAGCAGCAGCCATCATGGAGGTAGGCACTCCCCACCCAACCACCTGCCTGTCCACTTTGCCACACTAGCTCCCTGCACCTCAGCCTCATCCGCACTCACAGGGTGGCTATGAGCAAGCCCCTAACCTCTCTGGACCTCAGCTTTCCTCCTGTAAAACAGCAATTAATCGCCACCATTACAGGCTGCTGGGTGATTAGCAGACTGTACAGAAGCAGTAAATTAGTGTTGGTCTTAGGAAATGCTCACAGAATGTGGCTGTTAGGACAGGACCACAGCAAATCACTGAGCCAGGCCGAGAACCAGAAAGGGGAAGTGACTTGCCTAAGGTCACACTTGTTTGCTGGCTCCTGGGGTGAAGCCGGGCTGAAGCCTCCAGGTCTGTTCTCTCTCACCCTGTGGCTCACACCCACACCCGGGCTATCTTTGCTGCTTGCCAGAGGCTAGTAACCACTAGAAGCAGACAGCCCTCCAAGGCAGCTAGTCTGGGGGGGAGGGGAGGGAGGAGAAGTACAGGCCGAATGGAAGGATGGGCACTGGAGGGCAGTGACCATTTCTGTCTCCACTTCCCAGGGCCTGGCACAGGCCTTGGCACCTCAGAAAAACCAGAGATCTTTTGAAAACATAAAGCTATTCCCCACCCCCAGCCCTGGCTGCTGTAGCCCAGATGATTGGAGTGTTGTTTGGTGGATTAAAAGGTAGGGGGGGGGGTGTAAGCTGGTTTGGCTCACTGGATAGTCAGCCTGCAGACTGAAGGGTCCAGGTTCAATTCCAAGGGCCCATGTTGGGGTTGCCAGCTCGATCCCCAGTAGGGGGCATGGGGAGGCAGCCAATCCAGGATTCTATCTCATCATGTTTCTCTCTTCAATCTCTGAAATCAATAAAATATATATTTTTAACAAATAATAAAAGGTGATAGGTTCAATCCCTAGTCGTCTAGAGCACATGCTGTCCAATCGATGTTTCTCATTGATATTTCTCTCTCTCTTCCTCTTTCTCCCTCCCTTCTCTCTAAAAAGTCAATATAAAAAAACTTTTGGCTCAATGGATAGAGCGCCAGCCTGTGGACTGAAAGGTCCCGGGTTCGATTCCGGTCAAGGGTATGTACCTTGGTTGCGGGCACATCCCCAGTAGGGAGTGTGTGCAAGAGGCAGCTGATCAATGATTCTCTCTCATTGATGTTTCTAACTCTCTATCCCTCTCTCTTCCTCTCTGTAAAAAAATCAATAAAATAGATTTAAAAAAGAAAAACGGGTCCCTTGCCTGCTGAAGCTTAGACGACCCTCTCCCCATTTCCAGCAGCAGAGGCTCCTCTCAGCCATGAGCACGCACTGGCAGACACACTAACTCCCAGGCCTTTGCACCTGCTGCATTTCTGCTCACATCTGGCTGCTCCTCCCCTGTGGCAGGTATTTAATCCGTGCCCGGTGCTGTCCCAGCTGCCAGGGCACACCAGTGAACAGAGGAGATAAAACTCCCTGCCCTGTGGTACTTAGATTCTGGTCAGTGGGGGAGACAGGCCCTAAACAAGCAAATAAGTAACTGATAGGGCCTTTCCTTTCTCCAGATCAGGAGGCCCAGGGCCAGGGCAGTGATGTGCACTGAGGCGGCCTGGGTCTGCCTGGGTGAGAATCGCCGTGTGAGCCAAGACTGGGAGGGAGGCGTGAGCCCTGCGGCTAGCTGTGGAGAGATCTGGAAGGGTGGGCTGGGCCGAGGCCCTGAGGCCAGTGTGGCAGAGGGGACAGAGGGAGGGGAGGGGCCGGGGATGGGGCAGAGCCTTGGAGGCAGGGTAAGGGCTTTTGACTTTTCCTTGAGCTTGGGCAGGGGAGGGATTGAGTAGAGCTGAGTGATGGGATTGGGGTGTCAAGGGCGGCACCAGGGCCCGAGTAGGAGGCGGTAGTGAGCCTGTGGGCGGCTCAGGACTGAGTTATTGATGGTGACCAGGGGTTGGCAAACTAGAGTCATAGGTTAAATCCCTCTTTGTACAGTCCGTGAGCTCAGAATGGTTTGTTTTTTTTAAAATATATTTTATTGATTTTTTACATAGAGGAATTGAGAGGGATAGAGTTAGAAACGTCGGTCAGGGAGAAACATCGACCAGCTGCCTCTTGCACACTCACACACATCGACCAGCTGCCTCTTGCACACTCACACACACACACACACACACACACACACACACACCCTGCCCTGCAACCAAGGTACATGCCCTTCACTGGAATTGAACCCTGGACCTTTCAGTCCACAGGCCGATGCTCTATCCACTGAGCCAAACCGGTTTCGGCTATGTTTTTATGTTTTTAAATAGTTTAGGTTCTGCCCAGGGGAAGGAGAGTGAGGGGAGGGGTGGAGAAGGAAGACAAGGAAAGGAACGGCTGGGCAGTGGGACCTCGTCTGTTCTGTGAATGGAGTGGCAGGGAGCTGGAGTGACCACCTGCACAAGCTAGGGGTGTGACCGGGGCTGGGGGTGCCTGAGGCACGGAGAGGAGGGCGGGCACATCCTGAGAAACTGGGTTTAGGGAGGAGAGCGTGAGGAGGGTCTGAAGCAGCCCTAGGAGCCGAGGGGATGCCGGGAGGACGGCTGTGAGGAGAAAACAGACACCACTACACAGGCTTTCTTAAACTTTTACAAAATGTATGCTATTGATTTCAGAGAGAGGGAGAGATAGAAACATCAGTAATGAGAGAATCATTGATTGGCTGCCTCTGCATGCCTCCTACTGGGGATGGAGCCTGCAACCTGGGTGTGCCCTGATCAGGTATCGAACCATGACCTCCTGGTTCATAGGCTGATGCTCAACCACTGAGCTACACTGGCCAGTGGATTGCTTAGACCTTTTCCATGTCTAAAAAGCAAGTGGTTTTTGCATAAAAGACCCCTAAGTGCCAGTGACCTACCAGAATCACTGCTTTCCGCCTTCATTCTTCGTACTCCCCGCCTCCTGGCCCCACTGGACTGTAAGTGTCCCCGGGCATGGACTGCAGCCATCTTGTGTGCTGTGCCAGCCCAGCACGCAGCCCAGTGCCTGGGAGGGGCTGGTACCTGGTGAGCTGTGGGCGATGGACGGTGGAGAGGGAAGGGAGGACGTCCAGCGGGAGAAAAAGCTCAGCACTGGGCACCAGGGCCAGACTGCAGGGTTGAAACATGTCTTTACCCTTTATTAGCAGGTGGAGCTGGAACAGGTCAGTTAACTTATTCTGCCTCAGTTTCCTTATCTGTTAAACTGGAGCCTGGTGCACGAAATTCGTGCACGGGAGGGGAGAGAGGGGGGCAGGGGTGTCCCTCAGCCCAGCCTGTACAACTCTCCAATTTGGAACTCCTTGAGGAATGTCCACTGCCCATTTAGACCCGATTTTGATTGATGTCTAACTGCTCCCCTGCCAGCCTGTTTGCCCCCAACTTCCCTCCTCTGCCAGCTTGGTCACCCCTAACTGCCCTCCCCTGTAGGGTTGATTGCCTCTAACTGTCCTCCTTTGCCGGCCTGGTGCTTCCCAACTGCCCTCCCCTGCTGGCCATCTTGTGTCCACATGGTGGCAGGATCTTTGACCACATGGGGGCAGCTATTGTGTGTTGGAGTGATGGTCAATCTGCATATTACTCTTTTATTAGATAGGATAGAGGCCTGGTGCACGTGTTTGCCCTGAAGGGTGTCCCGGATCAGGGTGGGGGTTCCCCTGGAGCGTGGGGTTGCCTGAGCGAGGGGCCTGTGGTGGTTTGCAGGGCAGCCGCGGCCCCTGGTGACCCAAGCAGAGGCCCTGGGATCTGGAATTTATTTACCTTCTACAAATGAAACTATGTAGCCTGGAGCGGAGCCAAGCCTCCTGCTCACTCTGTGGCTGCAGCCATTTCTGTTTAAATTTGTTTACCTTCTATAATTGAAACTTTATAGCCTTGGCTTCCTCTGTTGCCTGGGAAACCCAAGCCTCCCTCCTGTTCTCTATGGCTGTAGCCATCTTGGTTGGGTTATTTGCATACTTGCTTTGATTGGCTGGTGGGTGTAGTGGAGTGATGGTTAATTTGCATATTGCTCTTTTATTAGGTAGGATGGGAGTAGAACCAGTCCCACCTCATCAGGTTGTGATGAGGATTTGATGAGTTAATACAGGAAGTGTTTTGAAACAGTACGTGGCACAGAGGAGTGTATGCTGACCTTACTATTACTGTGATCATTGCTATTGCTGCTATGAGTTGGCCCAGGCTCTGAGCAGACCTAGGGGTTGCCATTCATTAAGCAGAGAGGAAGACATGAATAATCAAAACCCCCCTGGTGGCAAACAAGGGAAATATTGGTTAGAACCACAATGTAAGGGCTTAAAAGCCATTCGGAAGAGTAAACTTCATCTCATGAGCAATAGGGAGCCACTGAAAGTTTCAGACAGGGGACAGACAAAGCTGGGTTTAGAGTAGAGGTTGGCAAACCAGAGTCACAGGCCATATCCCTCTTTTTGTACAGACCATGAGCTGAGAATGGCTTTTTTATTTTTAAATAGTTGACAACAGGTCCAAGAGCACCTCAGCATGAAAATGACAAGGAATTCGTTCCGTGTCCCTCCATGACACCTCAGTGGAACACAGCCATGCCGTGGCTCAGCGTGCTCTTTCCAGCTGAGCACGGAGCTGAGTAGTTGGGACGGACTCTGATGTTACAGAGACATTTGCCCGCCCCTGCTTCCTGATTTCGTTAACTCTTGAGCAAGATGGGGGTATATGTTCTTTGCAGGCCAGGAAGGGGCTTTGGTCTCCAGATGGCTTCAGGGTACACAGGGCGTCCAGGCCTGAGCCTGCAGGTGTAGAAGCTACCCGGGCTGCGTGCTGCTCCGCCCGCTGGGGCAGGCAGTGGGAGAGCACCTGTCAACTGGGCCCTGCTGATGGCAGAGCTTCCCCGCCTCACGCTGTCTGCAGGCTCCCGTTCATTACGTCTGCCTGGGTGCTCATGGCCTGACCAGGGATGTGTCAGTCCCTCCCATTACCTGGACGCCCAACGGGGAAAAGAGCTTCTAGATGAGCAGGGTCCCTTCATTCTCCACCCCCTGCCTCCTGGCCCCGCTGGACTGTAAGTGCGGGGTGTCTCCACCATGGCCTCGGCCCCCTCCAGCCCAGGCTTCCTCTGGGAGGGTGTATGAGTGGCAGGTCTAGGCGCCCACCCATGCTCCCACCCGGAGAAGCCACGCCCCTCTCTCTTGCTTACCTTCCGCAGTGGGCCCCCTCTGCCCTGCACAGCGGTGTAGGCGATCCCTGATTGAGGGTGGGGTGTTCAGATGGCAGTGTTCCTTCCTCACAGGTTCACAAAAATCTCCTAGGTTTTTTCCAGTAAACAGAAGGACACTTAAGAGTTCCAGTTGCCACAAATGTGTGTCATTTTGACAGTGGCTAGTTTGGCACTGCCAAATCCACTGCTTTGGTGAAAACCCTCCCTCCGTGATTCTCCAACTGGGGCGCCTGGAGCATGAGAATGAGGGACCCAGGCCCTGGAGGCAGACTCAGGTTTGGATTTCTGCTCTGCTACCTACTGGCCAAGTACCTACTCTGCTACCTTGGGCAAATGACTCTCTCTGTGCCTCAGTTTTCTCCACTCCAAATGGGGACAGTGAGGAACTCCCCGGCCAGGGTGTGAGAAGGACAGAATGAATGAATGCAAGTGAAGCACTTCCAAGTGACACACCAAGTGTCCTTCTGCTTGTGATTCCCGAGGAGCAGCGCCCAGACTGTCCGTCTGCAGATCACTCCCCTTCCCTCTCTCGGGCCCTGCATCTGTCATGTGTGGTGCAGTTTGGTTCTTAGCGCTGATAAAGGAGAATAATAGCTGACATTTCCTGAGCACTTACCTAGCCAACTGAGTGACTTCAGACCAGTTCCTAACCTCAGGGGCCTCAGTCTTCAGCCCTAAAATAGGGAGAACTGGCATCCACCTCACGGGGGAGGTAGAGGCTTCAGGTGATGAGAGCAGGAAATATGGTTGAGGTGGGAGCTACCTAGCTACTGCCCCTCCCTGACTGCCCGTCCCACAGAACTGGACAGTGACCTGCAGATGGGCCTGAGCCTGCCAGGGGTCTTCCTATTCCCAGCTCCTCTGGCCCCTGTGCCCACCCCACTCCTGACTTAGCTGTCTGTTCCCCATTGCCACCTCCAACCCCAAAGACTTTGTGGGGTCTCGGTCTCTACCTGACCTCGGGCCTGGGCTTTGGTGAAGCTCTGAAGAGCCAGACGCTCTGACCACACCCTCTCGGCCAGGCCAAAGCCTTTCTGGATCCAGCCGTCTCTTCCCTTCTCGGGTTTCTCAGCCACGTTCCTGGAGCTGGGGCCCTCGGAGGCCCTGCAGCCCCTGCAGCGGGCCGGCAGGACTCTGCTGAAGGTCTTTGGAGGGAGAACAAGACAGTTATCCCCTGGCTTCAAACCCTGGCCTAAACCTTGCTTCCTTCAAGATGTCTGCCCTGACAGCCGGCCCTGCTGTGCATGCTGAGCTCGCTCTGGGCACCTGCTCAGACCCACCTCCACTCGGTTACTTAGGTCTGGGTGTTTGCTCCTGGGAGTAGTTCTAGGTCTTTGTTGATCTGGATGGTGTGTGTGTGTGGCAGAAGTGGGGGAATGGCACACAGTTCACAAGTCAAACTCCCGACTCAGTAGAATAATGACCCGCAGGCACTTTCAGTTCACAAGGCACTTCCATGCTGTTCTGTGGCCTTTCCAGGCACTGGCAGAAAGGGCGAGGTGAAGACAGGTTCAGAGGGTGAGGGTGGGTGGATGAGGAGAGGTGAAGCTCAAAGGGTAAGCATTGGACTTCGGATTCCAACAAACCTCTAGGCACTTCCAGCGCGCCTTAACCTGTTAGTTTGTCTTCCATCTGTAGAGCAGAGGCCGAGTTAGTACTCCGCACACGGTTAAGGGGATAATGGGGTAATGCCCAGGACCTAGCACATAATAGGTGCTCCATACAGTGTCCTAAAAAATATTACCTAAAAAAGTCACACCCGTCAGGACATTTCCTCCAACGCAGGTGCTGTGGGAGGTACAAACATTGCGCTGCCCCTGGTTCTCCGGGGTCCTGCAGGCTGCGGGCCACAGAAGTGAAGCAGTGAGCAGCGGCAGGTGGCTGGCGGAGCTGGAGGTCAGCCGGGCAGGGGACTGACTGGTCTGCTCTGCTGCAGGATGGAGATGATTAAGGAGCTAACAACCCATAGGCCTTGCACTAATAACTACAGCTTACTATTTATCATGCCCTTATTTTGTGCCAGGCACAGCGGAAGGCCCTTTTATACACTGAGGCCGTACCCATTATTGGGGCTCAGTTACGATTTGTGGGGTTAATGAGAAGTTAATTCAAACCAAAAGCTTCAAGAGCTTCCCTCGATTTACATGCGGGAGCTGGAGCTCCGAGAGGCACAAGCCGATGTGCACACAAGTACATCAGCGGCCTCGGGAGCAAAGGCTGGGGCGCGGCGCAGCCATTCACGCCATCCCGCACTGTCCTCCCCTCTGCAGGCGCTGGGGCTGTGGAGCCGCGGAGCCGCCACAGCTCGTACCCCGAGGAAGATGACGACACCGAGGAGGGGGAGCCCAGCCACTTCCGCGGCCGCTCGCGTTCAGCGCCCCCAAACCTCTGGGCAGCACAGCGCTACGGCCGCGAGCTCCGGAGGATGAGCGACGAGTTCCACGGCTCCTCCTTTCTGGTGAGCGCCGCGCGACCGAGGGGCGCCTAGTGCCGGTGCATGCCGGGACCTGGACTCCCGGGCCCCTCCCCTCGGGCTCCCGGGGCATGCCGGGACCTGCAGTCTCGGGACTTTTCGAGTCCCAGAGCATGCCGGGACCTGTAGTCCAGGCCCCGCTCCAGAAGGCCGAGATCTGGAGCCCCAAATCTGTGGGACACAAAGCCCGTGGGCATCTGTGTTCCCAGCCGGCCCCTTTCAGGTGTCCAGGTTCTTTGCCTTCCACTTTGGACTTTCTTTTTTAAGTAAAGCAAGCAAGAATGTACTGACCACAGCAAAAACGTACTTCGGAGAGTGTAACAAGGAAGGACATAGAAGAAGCAACAGGAGCCTAGGCCGGGCTGCTTTGGCCCACTGGGGAGTCGGAGAAAAGGGGGCCTCGGAGACAGGTTCAGGGGGTTAGCCCCGGGGCTGCCGCTGCCCATTGCTCCCCGGTTGCAAGTCCCGTGGGGGCCCCTAAGAGTTTAGGGAATACGTGCCTGTGGGGGAATGGCACAGGCGTGCTCCGTGGAGGGAGAGCACCCCTCAAACCCCTTAATTCTTGGACTGCGGGCCCATCTTCCGGCTCTCGCGCTAGCACACAGGGTCCTACGGCCCTCTCCCCCCGCCCCCAACACGGAGCGTCTGGCTCTAAACCGCCCGTCCCTAAGGGCCAAACAGGTGATCTGGGAGCCGGTTAGGAAAGCGGTCAGGAGACCTCTTGGGCACAGGGCATGCTGGGAGCCGTGGTCTGTATCTCAGGGATGGGATTCCGGAATGGCGGACCCTGCTAACTCATATTAACTTTTCCATCTCCCCACCCGAAGGGACTCCCTCGCCCGAAGAGCGCAGGCACAGCGGCGCAGATGCGGCAAAACTCCGGCTGGACGCGCTTTTTCCAGTTCCAGTCCTGGTGGGGTCGGAACTCGGAGAGAGGAGGCTCCGCCTCCTCCCAATGACCTTTCCCACGCGCCCCTGCAGCCATCTTGAGTGCGGGCGGAAGTCGCCGCCGCGGCCTCCGCAGAGGATCCGGCCGCTCCGCGTCGGAAGGAGTCCTGACCCAGAGCCGGTCCCTTCCGGCGGGTGCGGCGGGGACGCCCGGGGCTTCCATCTCGGCGGAAGTTCTGAAGTTTTTCCGCCCTTAGCCGCGGGAAGTGCGCTGCCCCGGCGCCCGCGCCCAGGTGCGGGCCGGCACCGCCGGAACCCTTTCCCCGCAGTGCCCGCCGCGGAACGTGCTAATAAAGCCCATCTCTGCCCGGCCTCCTCTCCGGCGCTGGCAATCCCAGAGGACGCCTCCGTCTAAGCAGAAGGGAAACCGGGCTCTTTCTGAGTGACAGCCGGGGGGGGGGGGCGGGGGTCCGGGGCGGTGAGCGGGGCCTCGGCCAGTTGAGCCCCAGGGATTCTCAGGCCCTTATCTCCAATCTGGTAATTGGGAGCCGCGGGCCGGCCGGCCGCCGGAATTCCGAGCTCTGCCAGCCGCGCCCGTCCCCAGGGAGGGTCCTCTGTTCCTATGTGGGTCAGCCCTTCAGAGCAGCTACTGTGTGGCCGGCCTGGGGCCAGCGCTGCCGAGGAGCTGGCTGGGCGCGCGGGCCGGGGAGGGGGTGGCGGGAGGCTGGCCAAGGGCTGTGAACAGTGATAAATAGGGAACCAGAGAAGCTCCGGGACCTGGGAGCAGAGCTCCGAGCTGGGTTTCAGAAAGGTTTATTGGCGCCCCCTAGGGATGAGCCCGCGGTTTGTGCTGGGTACACGGAGATGAGTTAAGACAGCCGGTGAGTGAGAGCTGGGCAGCGGGCTGTCCTGGGGAGAGAGTGGACCCACGGGAGGACGGGAGCAGCAGAGGCCAGGCTTCTGGGGCTCGTGTGTCATACCCAGGAGCTTGGAGGTTAGCCTGGTCTTTGGGGAACAGGGGACTGGCGTGTAGTGTTTCTGTCAGAGGAGGCAAGCCAAGAAGGTAGGAATTGGCAGCTGCGGGCGCGGACACATGCGGTGGGCAGATTTGGGGAAAGGACAAGGACTGACCGCAGAAGCGAGGCCCAGAGTAGAGGTCCCCTGCCCTGGGAGAGCCCCCGCTCTGGAAGTCGTTTCTTGGCCCCCCCCCCCCCCATGTTTGTCTGAGGCTGCAGCAAAAACAAAAGGAAAACACTCAATTGGCAGGAGATAAGCCCGATAAGAGGCTGCCTTCCTCTGGAGGAGGGAGCTGGCAGGCCGGGAAGCTCGGCCAGGAAGCTGGAAGAGGCCTGAAGGAGTGCCAGCCTGCCCCTGCAGCAGAGCCAGCCGCACCCTAGCCGCCGCGGGTCTCTGCCGTCCTCGCTGTCCCAGGCAGGACGGGAGGCATGGAGCAGGTCCTCCAGGCCCGGTGTAGACCATCCACCCTGGAGCCTTCAGACCTGCCCTGCCTCCGGGTCAGGACATCTCAAGTTGGCCTGGCACACGTGACTTCTGTCTGGGCTTCAGTCTCCTCACCTGTAAAACAGGCACAACATCTCCCTCACAGGGGTGAGGGGCGCGGGGTCTCCCAGCCCCTGTGTCTGACCGCCAGCTTCCCTTCTCCCACGGTCACTGCCAGGCCCACCCACTCCCCACCTATGGCTGCCCAGCTCCACCCCCAGTCCATCTCCCCACAGAGTCAACTGCCTGCCTGGAGCCCAGAGCAGCCTCAGCGGAAGATGCTGGCCCTTGGGTCATATTAGGCAAAGGAAGGGGGGCAGGGAAGGCTTCCTGCGGCCAAGGCCTGAGCCTCCTCAGAGAGGACAGAGGGAGGGAAGTAGGTCCAGGGGCAGAGGGCACGGGGCCTCTGGCTCCAGGTCAGTGGGAAGGTCTGCAGGCCCCAGGCAAGCAAGTATCAAGCCCAGCCTGGCAGGTGTGGCTCTGGTTGAGCATCAACCTATGAACCAGGAGGTCATGGTAAGATTCCCGGTCAGGGCACATGCCCGGGTTGTGGGCTCCGTGTGGGGCGTGCAGGAGGCAGCCGATCCGGGATTCTCTCATTGATGTTTCTCTACCTTCCTCTCTCTGAAATCAATAAAAACACTAATTTAAAAAAAAAAAAAAGAAAAGAAAAGGTTCAAACCCAGCAACCCATCACTGGGGGCCTGACCTCAACCCCAGAGTGCCCACAGCCCGTTTTTATATGAGGAAACTGAGGCCCCAGAAGAAGCGGCAGAGTGCCTGCGGCTCAGGGTCCTCTAGCACTGCCCCACCCCAAACCACACCACACAGCGTCCCTGAAATCCACTTTTATTCACGTAAAAAAAAGTCCCCAGAGAATAGAGAGAACGTGACCCCTGCTGCCCAGAGCTGTCTCCACATGGCGTTCCCTCGGGGAGGGAGGGGGGCGGCTCCTCTGGGGTGTGGGTGTCACGGGGGCGAGGGCCCCACTCACGCTCTCGGGCCCAGAGTGACCCGCGCCTTCCCTAGGACTAAGCACAGGAAGGAGGGGCTGGGGACGAATGGGGCCCCGAGAGGGTGAAGGAAGGAAGTTAGTGCAGGGTGCTCGCCTCAGTTTAAAAAAATAAAATTTCTAAAGATAAAAAGTTAAAAGGAAAAAAGAGCATTAGTGTCATGGCTTCCGGCCGCCTCCCAGCGCCCACCCTGGCCCGGTGGCCACCTCTTGCTCAGCCAGGTCAGAGCTTCGTGTTCTCCTCTTGGCTCTCCGAGTCGGCGCCGGACAGGTGCCCACCGCTCCCAGGCGCGTGGCCATTGCTGGCACAGGCCACCAGGTGTCCGTCCCCCAGCCCCTGCGGAGTCTCGCCCAGCAGACACCGGCGGATCTCCTGGGGCAGCCTGGCCCGAAGCTCCTGATATTCCTGGGCCAGCTGGGCCAGCAGCTGCGGGGGAGGGGGAGGAGGAAGAGGTCACAGGACAGGCCACCTAGCACTTCGCCCGATGCCCACCTCGCCCACCTCGCCCGACCACTCACCTTGGGCTCCTCTTCCAGCAGCTGCTGCAGGACCTGCTGCTGCCTGGCCACCAGGCGTTCGTGCCGCTGCTTCTGGGCCTCCTCCAGCTGCCAGGGGGGGAACAAGAGCTCAGCAGGGGTCCCCAGGGAGGGGCCAGGCTCCTTGAGTGCCCAGGGCTCTGAGATACTATCCTTGTGGCAAATGCTGCAGGCCCAGCCTCCGAGGCCATGGGGCTCGGTTAGACAGTTGGCTTTGATGGTGTGGGCTGGAGAGGACTGGAGGGGACTAAGGGGGTTGTGGGGGGCAGGAGGGGGGGTGTGGGGGGCCGGAAGGGGTTGTGGGGGGCCGGGAGAGGACTGGAGGGGACTGGAGGAGGTGTGGGAAGCCGGAGGGGGTTGTGGGGGGCCGGAGGGGGGTTGTGGGGCCGGAGGGGGTTGTGGGGGGCAGGAGGGGGGTGTGGGGGGCCGGAGGGGGGTTGGGGGGCCAGAGGGGGTTGTGGGGGGCAGGAGGGGGCTGTGGGCCGAAGGGAACGGCTTTGGAAACCCCTCCAGGCCCGCACCAAGGAGCTGGGTTTCCGACGGCTGGAGGAAGAGGGTGGCACCTGAGCTCACTCACCCGGCGGATGGAGTTGACGGACTCCGTGATGTGGCGGCGGTTAATCTCCGTCAGTTCCCTGCTCGGGAGCAAGGCAGAGTGGGTTCACCGCGGGCACCCCGGGCGCCCCGCCTGCCCAGCGCCCAAACGGTTCCCGGCCCCAGGCCTTACGCCTCCTTCTTATGCTTCTCCCTCGTCTTGGCTTCCGAGATACTGTTGTGGCGCTTCCTGTCCAGGATCTTCTGCAGCTCCTTCTTCTCCCTGGGGGGCCGGAGGGGGAGGAAGGCTCAGGGGCAGGACTGGGGGCTCTGCCCTTGTCCTGGCACCAGGGAGTCCCCACTCCCCGGCCCCACCCAAGACCCTGTGCCTTCACCTGTCATTCATCTCCTTCAGCCTCTTGACCTGAGTGGTGTGAGCCTCCAGGACAACCTCCCGGAGCCGCTGCAGAGCCTGTGGACGCAGGTAGCCAGTCGGTGGACACAGGCCAATGACAGGTCCGTCGGAGAAGCAGGCGCCCCCTGCCCACGCCCCTCACCTGTCTCAGGTGCTCCATCCTCCGCTCGGCCTCGGCGTCCGCCTGGGCCTCCCGCAGCTCCAGCAGACTCTGCACCTGTCTCTCTTGGTAACGCCTCACCTCTTCCTCCTCCTTCTTGTCCTCCCCAGCTCTGTGCGGAGAACCCCCGGTGAGGCTCAGGCATCGCAGGAGCGTGGGCTGGGAGGGCAGAGGGTGCAGGGCACTTCCCAGCGGGCGGTGATGGACACCGGCCCAGGGGCGGGGCTTATTATGCTAATAAGGAGGCCAGTTCATTTCACTGAAGCGATGGGAGCCTGTCTGGGCACACACGCTCCTCTTGTTGTCTTCCAACGAGGTACTGCTCCCAGGTGGGGCGAGGGTGGGACTGAGGCAGGGAAGCCTCCTGCCTTCCTGGCACCAAGCCCTCCTCGGGGGCCCAGGAGAACCCCTCGGCCACCCCGCCGTCCTCCGGGCCCACCTGGCGCAGGAGAAACCCGCACCCCCACACACACTCCCGGCGATGCACACAGCACAGCCGCACACAGGCGGGCGGGATGCGCGCAGGACACCTGCTCTCGGCGCGGGCCTGGGCCAGGCCGTCCAGCAGGCGGCGGGTGAGGGCGAACGCCTTGCGCTGGTGCTTCTTGTGCAGCTCCCGCAGGTCGCGCTCCTGCCGGCTCCGGAGCTTCACCAGAGACTTGTGGCCTCGGAGCTCGTCCAGGGGGGCCACCGCCACCTCTGGGGGGGCGGAGGGAAGGCGTGAGCGGGACCAGCCGGCCCTGCGGGCACCCACACCCCAGGAGTGGTCCTGCCCCAACTCCCCGGAAGCTCCACCCCAGAACAGCCCCCCTCCTGGGACAGCCCCACCCCCACAAGCCCTACCTGACAGCACACTGGCAATGAGGTCGTCCCGCTGACCTGGGGGGCAGAGGCGGGACGGTGAAAAGGCGAGGGACCGTGGAGGCGCGC